CCTATGCCGTATGTTAGCACAAGCTCCAAAGTGTGAAGATGAGAATGTGTGGGACTATTTACATTTTGAACAAAGCCAACAGCATCTACAATAAGATAGACCCACTATGAAAACCCTGTCAGTATTCAACACCAAATCAGAAAGGTCCTCTGAAAACTCATCTAAAAATTCAGGGTAAGGACCTGGTGGACAATACAAAGTTACAAGAAGATTTTTTCTGGCTTTGCAATTTGGATCAGGGAAACTAACGGTAAATGTTCAAAATGTTCAATGGGTTGTAATTATTAACTGCCTTTTGAGTAATCAGTAAGTCAGACTGGAAGATTGTTGCTACTCCTCCTCCTCGCCCAGAACTTCTGGGGATGTGAAAATTTAAATAGCTTGAAGGAGTTGCCTCATTTATGCTCACATAATCCTCTTGCTGCAGCCAGGTTTCTGTAAGGCAGCATAAGTCAATGTGATTATCAAAAATCTAGTCATTGACTAACAGACTCTCTGAAGAAAGTGATCTTATGTTACATAAACCAAATTTAATCATTTAAAATGTTCCCTAATTGGATTTATTTTTATCTTTATTTGATTGTCATGATTTACTCCTTCTCAAGTATTTTCTAAATGTATTTATATTTATTTATTTGATTGATATTGATATTTATTATTTTGGTCGTGGGCAAGACACTATCTGGATGGAGTAAAGAGTGGGTAACAGTAGAGAAGCTGCAGAGAGGTCTGTTAAACTAGGACTCTGCTTCCTGGTCTGCACCCTGGGGGGTCAGGGTTTTGGAGGACTAATAAATGTGGCCAGATTCCTAAAAAGAAGAGCTGCACCATCCAAAGTGGGATTGATGCCGTCTCTCCGAATCAGACCAGGCTTTCCCCAAAAGGATTGCCAATTATTAATGTAGCCCACGTTGTTTTCATGCTGTTTTCAATTACCCGAGTCGGCCAGTCCAGTGGTAAGGTCCCTGACCTCCACGTGATGTTAAAGAGGCGTGACAGCCATTACAGCTCAACAATATTCAGAGAGCTTAGGTATTCAGTGCGAATGCCATCCAACCCTGAGGTTTTTAGACCACCTATGTGACCATCCTGGGTGATGACAGAATACAGCCCCAAACATCCCGTCTCTTCTTCCATCATGGAAGGTATGTCAGCCCGATTGCTGAGATCCTCAGAGTATTCTTTCCAGCATCCAAAGATGTCTTCTTTCAGGGTCAGCAGCCCCCCACTCCCTCCCACTAAACACAGTGTTAGCAAAGCACTGTCTCCCTCACCAGAGGCACAAGATGGATTGAAAAATGTCAGTGGGAAGAACATGGAGGCCTGCAGAACATCATTGAGAAGATCTGAATGGACTCAAAAACAGCTAAATTTGAAGAACCAAGGCTGCAAGAGATTTATGGAAGGTAAAGATCTGAATCCATTGTTTAGCGTTGATTACTTAATCACTTCCTGCTTACCTTCTACGCCAGGTTTCCCAACCTTTTTGACATCTGTTCCCCTTTGGATATTTTATCTTACCATGAGTACCACCCCCCAGTCAAAAGAATAGATGATAGTCCAAAAGTGGATCGTACAATAACTGATTATAAAATAAAAACTATTTTACTTTAACTTTTAATGTGGAAATAAAATTTTTAGGCATTTTATTCTTTCCTGTTGCCTCAAAGTTAGTATGGAATCAAGATAAATACAAAAAAAAAATCATATTATAAATCTGTATTTATAAAACTGGAGCTCCTCTGAGTAACTCCCCTATAATCACATTTAAACTTGATGAGTTGGGAACAAAATGCAGATAAATAATTATAGTTAGGCTGACTTAATTAGTTTTACTTTGTTCCCATCCAGAAACGTGAGCTGCTTTTAAAAGCTCTGAGAGCTCAGAGTGAAAACCAGCTGATCCCAGGCTGTTTTCTAACTCCTGTCTGTTCCTCTGCTGGGTTTGGATGTGGGTCACAGCTGAAGGTGCACTGAAAAAAAAACTAAGGGATATAATTGTTCAGTTGAGTCATCACAAATCAAAACAGATCCCAGCCCTATTTTATTTTATTACCTAAGAAATTAAATATTTTCATGTATCACTTGTAATGCACTTCCGGACCACTAGGGGTACCCACGGTTGGGAATTACTGCTCTACACTCCATATTCCTCTATCAATCCCCAGGCTGCCATCTTTATATGTTGGCAAATAAACTTTACTACAGTTAGTCTAATTACAGGTAAGGAAAACTTGACACCTTGCCTCCAATTGAAGTTTTGTGGTTAACTCAAAACAGAGACAGTAAACGTAGAACTCTGTGGACTGATGCCAGTGAGACCAAAGGAAAACCAAAGTGCCAGTGGTGGAGCAGGTGCAGACCTTCCACATCACAACAATGAAGATCCAGGAAGCTAATGTGGAGATAGTTATAAAGACCTCGATTTTCACCTGAACAAAATGGGAGTCAAAAAGCTGATGCTTTTTAAAGAAAAGTCCCCTCACATTCAGATTCAAACTTCGGAAAGTACTTTAAAAATGAAATGATTCCATCCTGTTCAATAAATGATCAGTGCTTTTAATTCAGAGTAATTTCCATGTGAATGTGCTTTACTGGAGGCATCCATGTTTGTCAAAGAACACTACTGCCACCTACTGGTTAGTGACGTCACGGTGCGGTATCGGCTGTTGATCAAGTCCCAGTGCTGTATCTGGTGTTTGTCACAACGCGCTATTATCCAAGTCATCTAGAAAACATTCTTCTTCCAAATGTTGGCTACATATTACGGGTTTTTTCTCTGGCCAGAAGTTCGATGGCAAATCCTCCCTCTTCAAGTTGGCGATCCAACGACCAACCCGTCTGTGGAGGATCAGGAATCAGAAAGGTGGAATAACTCTTTTTTTCACTTTTCCCCGATGTATTCCAGCATCCAGCTGCCATGCACGTGGGCATTGTCAGTTTCACTATAGCTCTGGTGAATTTCAATGGTGAAGTCCTCTGGAAATCTTCAATAATTGTTGTTGATTGCAGATGTGTCTAGTAGTTCCCATTGATTTAGCTTGGAAAGCGGGGAGAATGGCGCTAGGCTTACCGCACCGTGACGTCACTGCTGGAAGATGGCAGGAGGGAGGGGCTACTAGATTTGGGGGAAAATGGCAGCTCCCAGACTCAGTGATCGCAACGGAAATTATTTTAATTTTTTTACTGATTAACGCTAAATTCACGTAATGTATTAGTTTTAGGTATAGATAATGATCCAGTTTATCCACTTTTCCTTTAACAGGGAGGTTCAAAGTAGGCTGTACCTCTAAGGGCTGCACTCCAAAGACCTTCCTTTACTGAGTGGTTAAATCAGCCATCTATCTAGAGCTGGTTAGATTACCCAAAAATGGTATTCTAGTTGTCATATTGTGGTTGCAAACTCCAATCAGGTTTCTAAATGCACATTTTGTGGCGCTGGGATGAACTTTGATTGCTGTTTTATCTCTCTCTGTCTTTATCTCTATCAACTGTTTCATTTTAACTAGTTTTTGAAAAGTTCAAACTCACAGAGGAGAGAGGAGTCAGAGATTTTACTCAAGTAGGAGTAGAGATACTTTACAAGAATATTACTCAGATAAAAGTCAGAGGTATGGCTCAGAAAAACTACTTCTAAAAGTAATTTTTTTTTCAAATTGTTAATAAAGTTAATGTAACTGATTGAATGTAACTAACTACTACCCACCTCTTTATCTTAATAAAACAGCTTATCTAAAGCTGTGGCAAGATACTGTAGACTCATCAGGAAGGTCAGCTCTGTTTGAAGATGCCTCCTTGGCCCCCTTCAGGTGGGGGGAGATATGCACACATGAAGCTGCTGAAGGGTTGCAGACCTCCGCTGACAGACTGCTTGATCCAAGGTGCTCAAGGGATTGTTATCGCAGATCCTTCCTTCCAGCAGCTGTTACTGCTTCCATCAACATTTTTCCATCCCTGCTGATATTGCTGTTTTTATTCTAACCCTGTGGTCTTTGTTTGCGCAAACAGAATTATTATTTTTTTGTATATCTTTTAAATGGAGCCTTGGCAAAAGTTCAACTAAAGAAAGGATTACTTACCCTAATCCACCTCCGTCACGGGCCAATCAGCATCCATAGTTCATCTTAAAAGGTTTCCAAATCCACATTTCAGTCTGCTACCCAAAGCGCAGGCAGTGGTCGCGCCATGTTGGACTTCCAGTTTCTCAGAGTGTCATTCCTCTCGGACTCTTACTGGACTCCCTGTCTTATCTGAACCGGTCCGGCAGAAGGATGCTTTGTTGAGCCTGGTTCTTCCAGAGGTTTTTTTCCAAAGGGGAGTTTTTCCTCTCCACTGTCGCTTCATGCTTGCTCATCATGGACAGGTTCTTTCAACCTGTGTTATCCAAGCTGGACTTCCATCTTCCAGGTCCCTGAGTGAAGCTCTAGTATCAGCTCACGCAGTCCACTGGATCTCCCCATAAAGCTCAGCAGACCGTCTCTCTAACCAGCAGTCTACAGACTGACCAACTTAATCTCCACTCCACCACCAGTTTCAGGCCTGGGGGGGAACAGCCCTGTTCTTTACTGCTGTTCATGCAGATCAAAGCAAAATTCAGCACCAATGTTTCCTGCCGAGGTCTGAGCGCCAAAGACTAAATTGTATCAATAAAATTCTTCTAATTGTCTATTCTTTCCGTGTGAAATTTTTAGATTAAAATATCTTCAGTTGCACAATTCTTTAGTTTAATAAACTATTCTTGAAATCTAGAATTTTTTATTTTTCAGTAAAAATTGCTGCATTCATATGATTCTAGAGTTACATGCTTTTAGTTGGTCACTGATATCGCCTGAGCGGTTTGGTCCATTAATGTGAACCGAACGAAAAGGAGTGAATATCTCAACCCAGAGATTTCCTTGCAGGAAAAACTTTAGTCTATAAAAGAGTAAAAAGTATGGTAGCTCTAAGCTCTGAGCTGTTTAGCGAGGCACGTTAGACAGCAGAGAAAACGCACACATTTATTCATTATATAGATATGCTTTTATTAGAAATTAGACACATTCATATTGTGCTCTGAAAACTGTACATTAACAAAGAAGCGGTCCTGGTCAAAAAAAATAGGGGGTGGGTTTGGGAGGGGGGGCGGGGGGGACAGCGGGGCTTAGACAGACACAGATCTGTGGGAGGGACTTAGTGGTGATATCAAAACACACACAGTTACTTTGCGATACAGAACACTGGCAGTCCAGTACCCGATGGGGGGGTCGGTATCAGAATAATCATGTTTATATTCATAATAATGAGAACAACTATCCTCAAGCACGGTAAGAAATATATTTATAGGCTAAAATCCATTCTGTAGAACTCTAAATTAATTACAATGCTATACATCAGGACTCCAAAGGGAGCCTTGTGCTTTCCATCTGTGCACCCCCCACCCTCACAGACCGCCCCACACTGCCATCATGTCTGACCCAGGGACCACATACCTGTACGTGCAGATTCTCGGGGTACGCCGACAGAAACCGGACCCTGTTAGTCTGAATCTCTGGACTGATATGATTGGAGCTTTTCTCAAACCAAGGGGTCCCTTATATTAGCAACATGAAGCAGCAGGTATTTGCTGAACCGGAGCCATCGCTGGACGCACCGCCACGACGGTCCTTTAATTAGAGAATGAAGCCCAGCTGAACACCTGCCTCTCTGAATATTACCACCAGATAGTGTTTTTGTTGTTGTCCTCTGACCCTGCTGGTCTCCGTGGCGTTGACCCCGGTTTGCTCCAATCATTGTGGCGTCATTGCAGCTGAGCAGCAGGTGTAGCCTGGGTAGTCGTCTCCTTCAAGCCCGGGTCAGTTTGATGTGAGAGGCATTAGAGTGGAGCGTAACGCCAGCGTCCATGAGAAAACATCCGGACACAGCGGAACGGTAATGTAGCAACAGTCTCAATAGTGGGAAAAACGGGATTAGAACGTCGTAACCATTGAATACAGTGGGAAACATGGTATGCTGTTTATCACAGGTAGAAGTGATTTGCCAGCCAGTCATTTCAATGATCATCAGTTTTTTAGCTGACACCAAAACATCAAAGGAAGCAACACAAAAAGCGACATCGTGTTCCTCTTTGCTCCGAATGTGGTTTTCCACGTTCTCGTCCTCAGCGCTTCTCCTTCTCCTGTGTGTGTGTGTGTGTGTGTGTGTGTGTGTGTGGTGGGGAGCAGCAGGGTGTGAGGTCCCATTGAGAGTCAGACCTCGGTCTGCAGGTCCATGATCTCCTGGCCCACCAGGGGAATAGTGGCACTGGTCTTCTCCCACTCCACTGTCTGCAGCTCCAGAGGAGAGGCGGCTACAGTTTCCAGCTCCTTCCTCACCCAGGATGGGGGCGAGTGGGGTTTGCGGATGCCCTCCCATGCCCTCTTACTGGGGGTCTGCTGCTTGTCCTATGGAAAATGACATGATGAGAAAATCCATCTTTTTCAAGCCAGCCAGAACAGCTGGAGCGGCCATCTCCGGTCCTCTGGAGTCCTGCATGTTTTGGAAGCGCCTCTGTTGGAGCCAAACACTGTGGAGGCTTTATTGGAACCTAAAACATGCAGCACACTGACTCCTGAAGACAGAAGGTGACCTGAACACAGTTTTAACACACTTATTCTGTATTATACGACAGAGTATTAGCGCCAGGCTAACTTTTTTAATTTTTTTTATTTTGAGAATAAAGTCGCAACATTACGAGAATGAAACCATCAAACCATCATTCCTCATTTTAGGGAAGACAGGGCTTCTATTAAGAGCTGTCATAAAATACAACTTGTTTCTCATAATTTTATGACTTTATTCTTGTAATTTTTTTTTACTTTATTCTCATAATGTTATGACTTAATTGATTCTAGAAATAGAAGAAAAAAAAATCTGTAGCCTGTCCCTAATACTCCGTCATAGATCTACGTCGTACTACGGTGGGGAACATGCAAGGATTTCCTTTGGTTTTTTTCTTTTTTTAAATCAAACTGTCTCCGATCATCAGAATATCAGCATTAGACGAGGGAAGCCTGCAAAAACAAAGCAGTTTTCATTCATAAAAAGACACTGAGCTGGACCGGTGTGGAAGAAATCCACCTGCACTTGTTAAACCATGAACGAAGTTTGATTTTTAATCACATCTACTTCGGCAGCTTCGCTGTTTACTGTGGGAGCCATGGCCCACACTGAAAAAAGTCACTTTTTGGAGCAGTAAACTATACTATATATCTCCTATGGAGATATTTTTGGGAAAGAGTAAGTTTCACTTAGATTTCCTGATACTGTTTAAATGTTTATTTAGCAGTAAAACCAGCTTCCTCCCACAGTCCAAAAACATGACTGTTAGGTTAACTGGCTTCTCTAAATGCTCCTTTGATGTGTGTGTGTGTGAATGGTTGTTTGTCTGTTTTGCCTTCAAATATGGAGTAAAAGGCTGTTTGTTCCCATGAAAAACAACAACACTTTACCTAATTTGTTTAAATAAATCTACGTTACAACTTGGATGGAATTACCTAAATGTTACATAAGATCTTCACAACTGTTATGTCTTATGGAAAGCAAAATTAAACTTGATACTGACAAGTGAGTGCTACTTGATATTGCAGCATTAAATTTGACTTAAATCATTTGCTGCAAATACTTACAATATATATTTTTTTAAATCTTATGAGTTTTTTTTTTCAGTGCAAAATTGGAGAGATAAAAGCAATTATTTCTGCTTGGCACACAAAATTCAGCTGAGAGCAAACCAGAGACTCATTCAGGGAGTCAAAATTCATCTAAACATTTAAAGCTCTGCAGGCCTCGCTCAGAGAACTAAAAAACAAAAAACATTTACATTAGACGGAAAAACCAAAGCAAACCTGTTAGGAGGTAGCTACTTTTCACAGCACTGTAAACACTCTAAACAAGGTAAGGCTTTGATCTTATCTTAATGAAAGGGCGGTTATGGAATTTAGATCTAATGGAACAAAAACTTGCTTTAAATGATCCAACCAAAATATGAATAGAGGGGAAACATGTATGCTTTTCAGTAGAGGAGCGAAAAGGAGCTTGATGCAAGCATGACGTGGCATGATGTTCTAGATGTTCCTAACAGAGCATTTCAATCTGCAGGTTTATTAGTGGTTCCCAGAGAATGCTGTTATTCCTTTTAGCTAAATCAGACTCAGAGATAAAATCTGCCAGGTTGTAAAAGTTATTTTATTCAAAGAGAGACAAATGAAGGGAAGCTCTCTTCGTCTCTCTGCAGACGCCCAGGTTGGGTCATATTGTGGTTTGTTCACTGTGGTGGAATGGTGTCTGAATGGCTGCAGGAGGCCTGTGGGACTCAGTGTTACAGATTATGTCAGGGCTATTCATGAGCAGATGGTCACAGTTAAAATGTAGATTAGTTGCATATAGATGTGGACCTCAGCAGGCCAGTACTGGAAGCACGTTTCTGTTTGTCGGGGGGGGGGTGTGGACTGCTGGACGGGAACACATTCATTATGATCTTTGGTTCTATTTAGACCCACATAATACTGTCACATTGATGTCCTATGGTTTATATGGCCATGCACGTTAATTGGTGTAAACAAAAATGTGTTTTGAATGCACTGAAGTTTTAAAATAAAACAAAACACTTTCCCTGCTAACTAAATAAAAAAATCATCATTTGAAATTCTTTTTGCAGAGAACAGTTAGTATGCAGGTCTTCTCCACTCTGGACTGTGCTGTTTATAAATCCTGCTTGCATTGAGTGTTGAAGAGCTTTTGGTGGTGGCTTACAGGTATGCAAATATTATAAACTAAACGCCGAACAAACTCACTGCTGCATCTTGTTCCGCTATGGAGATGTGTTTTTTTGGCTGTTGTGGTTTTGAACTGGGCAGTGATCTTATTTACTGTCTCCGGTGTGAATTAGTAACCACACGGATTGAACACAACAGACTGGAACATTCCGCTCATGTTTTTTCTGCAGCCGAAATTAACGTTTCATGCATCCTGTTATAGTTTAACCTCTTAAAAACCTGGCGACCCGGTGGACCTTAAGTCGGGGTAATAACTCCAAATGCATAAAATTCCACCGGTAAAATTTTTACCAGCAGGTGGAGCCATTGAGCGCAGCTCCAAGCTGACACCAAAAGTTCCAAACCCCACAGCTCTGGAACTGTGATAGTTAGAGGTCTGAAATGTTCTGCATTTGTGGTTGACGTGATGTAGCCTGGGTGCCATTCCGAACTTAGGTTTGAGGTCGGGAAGTTCGGTCTGGCATTGCTCAATAGTAGCGCGAATATGCTAGCACAATATCAGGTGGGCCAATCAAATTGTCAGGGCGGGCTTTATACGATGATGGACAGATGATCAACAGTAACGTAATCAACCACGTGACCAAAGCGCGCTTGGGTGACAACAACAATGGCTGCCGCTGGAGAGTTTAGGTGAGTAGATTCTGCTATTAGGTCTGTTCTAGAAGATATCGACAGCAAATTAATTTTAAAAGAGGAACAGAGAAACGCGATCAAGGCTCATCTTCTTATTCTTGGCGTGCAACTGCACGCTTTGATTTTTGTTGACAACTATGCGTCGCTTAACATACGTCACGCACTCCGTTGCTCTTATTGGTTGTAGGTCTATCCAATTGAGTGCAGAGGCATTTTTTTTCCTGGTTCGTTCGAAACACGCCCCATAATCACAGCTCTATGGAGCAGCATCAGACTCATATTCTGACTAGAATTGAGTCGGACTACGTCAGGCTAGACGTGATGTAGAACAAATATTATACAATAAAACCTGGATTTTCTCAAGAATGTCTTCATTACTGCTGTTCAAAAAAGACCTATTATTTCCGAGAAAAAAAACAACAACTTTAAGTCATGTTTGAACTGATGCAGGTTGGTCTTAACCTGACTCTGCCAGATGGATTTGCTCCGTATATCCATCTGGAAACCTTCCGTTGCAGTAATTTTGGGAAGGGGCAAAAATACTGGTTATCTGATTGGCCTATGTTGGTGATAGACGGGCCAAATAAACCAATCAGATCAACGAAGCATATGACGTACTAACAGAGCGACGACGAAAACACAACCACAAGTCAGGCTACTCTTGGCGAAACCAGTCGGGAGAAGAGCAAAAACATCTTTTCCTCTGAGAAAAGCCTCCAGAGCAGTGTTTTGCTCTTCTTTCAGTGAAGAAATACTCTGTAATTCCGATAAAACTTGCTCGATAGCCACGCTAACGCTAGTTTCATCGGCTGAAGCCGCCATGTTCTTTAGACTGAACTGTCGCGCTTCTCGTTGCGTCACACCTCAACCCGCCTCAAAGCCAACGCTGATTGGACGTTCGTTTGGTGAACGGCTCCACATTTTCTTTAACGGAGAGTCTCCAGACTGATCTGCGAGTGAAACCTTGAAAGCTCGCGAGATCAGGATGGTCTCACGAGACTAGGTTGGTCTGTGTTCTAGTCACCCAACTTTAAGCTTTCAAATAATGTATTACACATGTAATCTGGGCTTACAGTTCCTAAGTTATTTGCTTTTCCATTTGAGTATGCAAAATAGGCGAGGATTACGCAAAATTAGCTGGATGTTAAGAGGTAAAACTGACACCCTGACAGTTTCTCAACACTACTTTTCTGTTCTCAGCCTTATTCTTTGTTAAATTAATAATAAATCTTATTAATCTAACAATGAGTGTTTAATTGATCTACAGAGCTATGCAGAAACAGCTTTTCCATATTTTGGAATGTGGCTTTATGTTTGATGTGGTCCAGCTTTTCTTCCAGGGTTATCCTGGGTTTAGTTCTGTCTATCTATCCGTTTGGGGGATAAGCCTCTATGATGCTGTTTTCAGGTCAGACTCACTCTTTCCAACATGTTACATCCTATCTGAGCAGAAAAAGCTCCTGCTTCCCCATAAAATGGCAGTATAAACCGTGTACAGCTTGCCTCACTCTGTCTCTGTGGGGAGAAGATGTTCTAGAAGCTAACTGTGCGTTAAATGTTTGACATGGTCCAGCTTTTCTTCCAGGTTTGTCCTGGATTTAGCTCTAATTTAAGGCTAGGCTTAAAACTTTCCTTTTTGATAAAGCTTCTAGTTAGAGTGGCTCAGGTTATCCTGAGCTATCTCTATAGTTCTGCTGCTATAGGCTTAGACTGCTGGAGGACATAGGGACCCCTTTTTCATCATTCTGCTTCATTCTATCTCTATTCTCCCACTCTGCAGAATCTGTTAGTTCAATCTCTAACGTTCTGCTCTCTCTGCTTTTTCTCATAGTAGCTTCATCTGGTCTGTTCCTGTTTGGCTGTGACTCCATCCTGGAGAGAAATATCAGCTGTGCTGCTGCCATCAACACCTTTGTTTCTAGATGTTGGAGCTTGGCCTGTTTTCCAGTGTAGTCCTGTTTCTCTGACTGTGACTAACTGGATGTGCTCTCTTCATCCTCTGACATGGGAGCTGGCTCGGAGCTCGTCTGCCTGGCTGTGTGTTTCCTGGACGGGGCCGCCTGTGGAGCTGGTTGACAGTTGCCTTTTGTATCTATGCTTCTTTTTCTATGTCTGCTTCTGTCTCCTTGAACCCCAGTGGGCCTCAGCAGATGGCCGCTCACACTGAGCCTGGTTCTGCTGGAGGTTTCTTCCTGTTCAAAGGGAGTTTTTCCTCTCCACTGTCGCTACAAGCATGCTTAGTGTGAGGGATTGCTGAAGAGTCAATGAGTCGATGCAATCAGCTGGTTTTCCTTAGATAGAAAACTTTGAATCAATCTGACTGGATGATCTGGTGAACTGGAAAGTGACCTGAGATGATATGATGTGAGTTGGAGCTATAGAAATAAACTGAGTAGAATCAAATGTCTCCAAATCTCTCTGGCGTGCCTAAGGGCTTCTTGGTCTTTATGATCATTTTGTTCACTAATGTTCAATTGGGTCTGAATAACAGCCCCTCTGTCTGGAGACGAGCCTTTTTCCACGCACTGCTAATTTTCCTTTTTGCAAGTTTGTGCTTTTATTGTGACGCAGCGATGAGTCGATAAAATACTATCCGACATGCTCACCCACAGCAGAGCATCAAACCACCATGTTTAGTTCAGTTGAACTGGGAGATAAGTCCAGAGGTCAGTGGGCAGATTGTTAGAGGGGTGGGGGAACATTCAGGGCTGCAGAAGGGAGGGAGGGGGAGGGGGGGGCAGAATAAAATCAAAGTGTTTACACTCATGTTGGTCTTGTCGCTGCCGGTAGAGGACACGCTCCATCTTTTGGCAGCTTTGGCGTCAACAGGTGGAGACTCTCTATCCTTGTCTGCACTCTGAATCTTCCTGCTGAGGTCCTGAAACATGTCCTGGTGCCGTTTCCGGGTGTGCATTATTTTCTACACGTTACGGACAATACATAGAATAGACCATCAGTGCTGCTTTCTCTGCACATCACTTCTGAATCAATCTAAAAATAAAAGCTCCTCTTTGGGTATATGTTTAAGAATCTCTGTAGGAAGCAAAAAAACCAGAATTACCTCAAAGTCAAGCTCTGCATAGCGTGATTTTCGTCTCTGAGGGGGAGATACAGAGACAGACAGATTAAAATAGGTCCTTCATATCTGAGGCCTTATGAGTTTCATAGTGAAGCGTCAGTTTAGAAAAGGCCTTCTTTAGCTTAGAAAGGGTGAATCACGAGGGACGATGTTGGTAATTCAGACCCCGCCGGCGTGAGAGAGCGGCCAACAGATTGGGAGGGAACGACCTTTAGGTCAGCTGTCCCACAGCCTGACCTCCAGCTGCAGCTGCAGCACCTTCTGCCCCGCAGTAGGCAGATGTCTGAGCCACTTTATGCTGATCGGGGGGGCGTCAGTCTGCGCTCTGAGCTCACTAACCTTTATGAAGCAGCTGAAAGCCGAGATGCTTCCTGTGATTCATTGGTTGTTATGAGAGAAAGCAGGCAGCTCTGGATGAACCAGAGTGATGAAAAAATGAAGTGTTGTGACAATAACTGATGATATTTGGGACTGGTTTAATAGTGTTTGGCCTCATATGGTGATGGTGGCTGGGAATCATTTCTCTCTCAGGCTGTGTTGGTTAAACATCACCAGGCACAATCAATTATTCCAGAAAGCAATTAGACTAATCGTTCCTTCAGCTGCCGGTATTAATGATCAGTTCATGGAAAAGAGCAGATGCTGCATCATTCATGGCCGACGCAGGAGAAACAACAACAAAGTTAAATGTTTGGATCATGAGAGGCAGAAAAAAAGGAGAAAATGTGATGAAAAGATGATCTTTACGATGTTTACAGTCTGAATGCCTCCAATAATAACGATAAACTTTAAATGTTGCATCATTGAACCGTTTGCCCGATCAGAACAACAGAGGTACTGATCCAAGTAGATCAGCTGATGCTTTTAAAACTGACAAACATAGAAAATAATAAAAAAGGAAAAACTGTTTTATTTTCACACATCTGCAATGCAGCAAACCCTGAAATCTAAATGAGTCTTTTTTTTTTTCGTAGAATTTGCATTTTTTTCTTGAATTAAGGACATGATAAACTTTGCCAATGGAACAAGATGATTTACATCTAAAAAAAAAACTATTGCATTGTCTTTTTTCAAGTACATATGATCTAATCATCTTATTTTAAAAGTAAAGGAAACTAATTCCATTGGAAAACTATCTCATTTATCTGCTCAAATGAAGAGTAAAAACACTGATTTTAAGAATATTTTGCGTATTTCTTTTTTTTGCAGTGTGTGTTTTCCATCACTAGTTAGTGATGATTTGCCTCAGTGTGTTCAGTTACTGCCTGCATGTTTCAATGTTCTGTCTTAGTTCTGGTCCATCAGCACCAGCCAGCTGCCTGACACAATCCGGAGGTCAAAAAGCAGCCAATCAGCCCACTTCCTGTCAAACACTGACGCCACTGATTTAGCACCGGGTAGCTAAGCTAAGAGACGCAGAGAACCGGATCATTTCCAGGGCTGGTTCTACTTCTGACCAGGACTGGGCAATGAATGGCCCCATGATGGCAGTTTAACATAACACAACTTTCAAATCACAGAGCCCTCTGGGTGGCGGTGGAACACTTATTGGGTTTGTTGCCACATAGAAAGGTAGAGAGAGTTGCAGCTACAGATCGGTGAATGTAAGGTTACAGTGAAACTCTGAAACGACGAACTCTGGGTCAGCAAGATATCAAAAACTGAAAGGTTGGGGAGAAACATTGACAAGCTTGGGGTTAATGCAAAGGAAAATCAAATTATTGGTTCAAACCAATCGTAATTTTTATTTTTTTGGAAAATCCGTCAGCCCTAGTTTTGACTCCTTCGTTTAGCGGTTGACAAAATGTTTGATGGCCAATGTTAGCGCATTCTGTTGCTGTAAAATGCAGCTGAATCTACTTTAAAATAACTTCAAATATAGAAGCAGCCATTCAAATGGCGCTTCACGATCAAACGCCAGGCGAATGGCAGCCAACTTCCCGCCACTGGAGTAAAGCCCTCCTTCTCCTGGGCCTGCTTGTCTTTCCACAAATCATGACAGAAAGAATATTCCAGTACAAAGATTGATGTTTAAAGCCGGACATACACTGTACAATACTTTTAATCGTACGCAGCTACAGCTCTTACTGTACGATGAAACTACAGGGTTTAAAAGTTCACAGCTTACCATGTTTGTTCTCCCACTGTGTGACCCGATGCTCTGATGCGATCTACCTGCTCACACTCTACGTCTAAAATCCAGGCAGTGAGATGGCGCTACTCGGACCCGTCTATCCTGAAGCCAAACCAGTAGCAGAGGAACATGAAGCTCACTAGTGTGAAACCCGCTGCCTTGGATATTTGGGCGATTTACAGTAGTGCTTAAAGCCCTAAAAAGAAAAGGAGACGACGTATTTGGACAAAGACATGGCTGAGCTAACGTGGCTACTACGGTCTGTCAGTTTGACAGAAAGAACTCCATTTCACTCATTGCCCCCCCGCCATGCTGCTGGGTTTACATCTGAGAGGAAGAAGAAGAATCCTTGTTGCCCACTGAGCGATTTGCCCACGGCCACCTTAAGACGGCCGACTGGATTTAAAACGTGTTTGATTTTCTCCAAACCTCACGATTCCTGATGGGGAGGCGGTCGTTAGAGGCTGATCGCCCCTCGTTACTCCCTGTTCACTACACCATGCACCATCAGGATGAAAGTCAACCTGATCGGAAAATTCTCTCATGACTGTAAAATCGTCCTGAAAAGGGCAAAATACTCTACAGTGTCGCCCGGGTTAAAGAGGAAATGTAGGTGACCAGCCAAGGAAAGTGAGACATTTTGAATGGCTGCTACTGTATTGTGGCTGTTGTTTTGATGGGGCTCGACTTTTTTTAATTAAATGAAATTAATTTTAATTAAATTAGTGCTTTATGGTCCAAAATTCTGAAATTCAGCATAAAAGGTTGATGAAATCACCTGATTTTAGGATTTATTTAACGTAAGCCTTAAAAACCTGTTTGTTTTATTGACGTATCTTGGAAACAGATTTAATTTAGTGTTTTCAGTAAGAAACAAAAGAAAATCACTTGTTACTGGGAAGGCCTGGGGAAACCTTCCAGGTTCGGCCGTCTTACCTCCAGCGAGCTCATGGACAGCGTGGACACAGTTTCACTCTTGGACATCACGCCAGAGTTGCCAGACTCGCCTGCATCTGCCAAGCTTCTCGCTGTGTGTGAGTCTCTGGCTCCGCCCTGCAGGTTATGAGCCGGCGAGTCTCTGTCGGAGCACGACACGCTGACCTGCTCGGTGGGAAGGCTCTTGAGCCCGAAGCCGGGGACAGGTTCTCCGCTGGCAGGGTTGGCCAGATGGATGAGCCTGCTCTGAGGGAGCTGCTCCATGGTGGTGTTATACTTGGCGCTCTGCTCGTCTTTAGCCTTGGCAGCTTTCAGGGTCCCAGTGTTGTTGGTGGGTAGAATGATGTAACCTGGACCTTTGCCAGTGCCGTCGGAGCTGCTGCCCTCCCCGTTCCCTCGAGGCAGATCTCCGTCCAGCTGCTTGAAGAGCTCACCGTCGCAGATGTAGATGGATTTAGCTCCTGGGAGCTCGGTGCTGATTCCCTTGGTGGCGCCTTTCTCCCTGCGCAGCGTCAGCGTGTGGCTGGAGTAGTCGGCCACATTCTGGAGGTGAACCTTGGCCATGCTGGCTGGCATGGTGTTGAAGTTGGATCCTTTCTGCAGGGTGAGGGTCCCAGAGGAGGCCTTTTCCTCCCCCTGGAGGGATGAGCGCTTCCCTGTGCCTGGAGACAAAGCAGATGGAAAAAAGGTCGGCTGCAGCAGAAATACCAGCGGCATTACAGGGAAAACCTCAAAGATAGGTTAGATAAGATGGATCAGGACGAAGCAGAGAACAGCAGTTGTATAGGAAGAAAAACTGCTCCATAAAATGAAATCCCGTTTTAACGTCAGTCTTTAGTGATTAACCTCCACCAGCTTCTCACATCTAGAGACTTTTTTCTTTCCTTCCAGCCGTGGTACATAGAGATAATCTCAATCTCTATATCATGACACAGATTTTGATTTGGACTTTGACTAGGCCGCAGTGATTTGCTTTGTGACATTGTGCTGTCTGAAAGTCAAAGTTTGTTCCAAAGGTTTGATTCCAGGAATGTTCATTTTTTCCATTCCTCTATCAGCTTTAACTACCTTCCCTCCCGGACATCAGAGGGACCAGCCAGGGACCAGCCAAGAACCAGCCAGGGACCAGCCAAGGACCAGCCAAGGACCAGCCCAGGACCAGCCCAGGACCAGCCAAGGACCAGCCAAGGACCAGCCAAGGACCAGCCAAGGATCAGCCAAGGACCAGCCCAGGACCAGCCAGGGACCAGCCAAGGACCAGCCAAGGACCAGCCAAGGACCAGCCAAGGACCAGCCAAGAACCAGCCCAGGACCAGCCAGGGACCAGCCAAGGACCAGCCAGGGAGCAGCCAAGGACCAGCCAAGGACCAGCCAGGACCAGCCCAGGACCAGCCAGGGACCAGCCAAGGACCAGCCAAGGACCAGCCAAGGACCAGCCAAGGACCAGCCAAGAACCAGCCCAGGACCAGCCAGGGACCAGCCAAGGACCAGCCAGGGAGCAGCCAAGGACCAGCCAAGGACCAGCCAAGGACCAGCCCAGGACCAGCCAGGACCAGCCCAGGACCAGCCAGGGACCAGCCAAGGACCAGCCCAGGACCAGCCAGGGACCAGCCAAGGACCAGCCCAGGACCAGCCAGGACCAGCCAGGGACCAGCCAGGACCAGCCCAGGACCAGCCAGGGACCAGCCAAGGACCAGCCCAGGACCAGCCAGGACCAGCCCAGGACCAGCCAAGGACCAGCCAAGGACCAGCCAAGGACCAGCCAAGGACCAGCCCAGGACCAGCCAGGACCAACCCAGGACCAGCCAGGGACCAGCCCAGGACCAGCCCAGGACCAGCCAGGACCAGCCCGGGACCAGCCAGGACCAGCCCAGGACCAGCCAGGGACCAGCCAGGGACCAGCCAAGGACCAGCCAGGGAGCAGCCAAGAACCAGCCAAGGACCAGCCAAGGACCAGCCAAGGACCAGGGACCATACTTCCTCTGCGATGGACTGCCGACCTGTCCAGGATGGACCCTGCCTCTCGCCCATAGACAGATGGAGATACCAGCACCCCTCGCGACCCCACTTGGGATAAAGCATGTCAGAAAATGGATGGATGGTATAATTCCTGCTCTAAGTGGGTCTCTGTCCGCTAATGGCATACTTTAGTCTCTATACACAGTTAACATTTAATCGATTACTAAATAGTTGATGATTATTGCAATATTCGATTAATCCGATTAATTGTTTCAGCCCTAAATGGATGCCAAAGGAAAGGCCTCACAAGGGTAGAGAAACATGAATGTGTTTGCTTCGGTCTGAGAAACATCTATTCAGGTTCATCGTCAAACTGAAGACGGTTTCTACTAAAATGGAAACATTTCAGTCCTGTTCCTGTTTTACTGATAGTTAAGTTTCTGATAAAAGTGGGAAAGAGTTTGAATGATGTTAGGGTGATGAAGAGGATTAGCTCATAGAAAGGACAGAAAATCAGTCAACACACGGTCCGGACTACATCTAGAAAGACAAGGGAGTTCAATTCAATTACACTTTATGAATACCCAGAGGGAATTCAGTTCAGGCCTTCTGCCATAAAAGGCGCTGCTAGTACAGAGTGTAGGGGCCCTTTATGGGGGCCATTTGGTCGCTCTACAAGCAGATCAAGTCTGGACCAGTTCCTGGTGCATGTTGGACTCCAGCACCGCAGCCCTGTTAGGAGCTTTTAGAATCAGGATGTTCAGGGTCTGATTTAAGGACCACAAGAGTTGATCTATATTTGCAGATTATGTGGTTCTGCTAACCCCCCTCCAGCAAAGACCTACAGCCAGGCTGAGAATCAGCTCCTCCAAGTCCAGGAAGGGGGGGCTTGTTTTCTCTAGGTTGAGAGTTTCGTCTCAAGTGGAGGAGATCCAGTGTTTCAGGATCTGATTCATGAAAGAGGGGAGAAGGAAGCAGGTGGTCGGCAGACGGACCAGTGATGCTGAATTGGGCTGTGCTGCAGAACGAGCATCTGAGTCTTTGGAGTGATGGGAAAAAATAACTGCAGATAACTGGAAGATGTCGCTTTTATATAAGACCAGTTTGATGCTAGCTTAAAGGCTAATCAGACCTTAACTGAGATATCTGTCTGTAGACTGAACACCCGAGGGGGGGGGGGATTCACCCTACACTTTATGCAATGAGGCTCTTCCACTTACATTAAGTTTATTGTTTCCTCAAACTATGCAGTGCTTATGGTTTGAAAGTATAATACAGTTTTAAATAAACAGCAGAACAAAACAGGAAGTGGAGGCTGCTAAAATAATTCTAACTAATTTCCCAAAGATCAGTCTTCCTGGTCCCTCCTTCTGTGACATCTCCAAAGAAAAATAAAACCAGCCATCTTGTTTCTTGTCACTTTTCCATGAGGTTTTCTCAGCAGCTTTTCTGCAACAGACGCTGATCTTAATATCCTGTCTATCCATTGAAATGAGACTAAGCAAAGCCTGTATCTGATCTACAGCAGCACATTAGGAGAGACTCAGGCGGCCATGTTTATCTGCATTCAACTGCTCAGCACACGTCCTTCCTACTTCCATTGGTGGAACTGTGGCACGCAGCAGGCAGTCAGTCTGCTGCACTTCTACTCCAAAAACACAGACTAATCTGAAGCATTGGAAACAGACTTCTAAACAGGAGTACCTATAATGGGATTTTAAACACTAATAAAGATGAAACGTACCTGATCTGCAGGCCATATCCACGTCTTTTTCAAAATCAGTCTAAGGAAAGGAAACAGCACAGACTCATTAGCTCTGATCATCACAGCAGCTTCAGTCAAAGGGCCGATATGGCTGGGCGTACCATGAGCTGAGCGTGGCCATTTTGGAAAGATCCTCCTGAATCTCCGTTAGCGTCTTCCTGCCGATCCACCACACGGCACTTCACAGCTTCCTGAACCTGCAGCCAAGCAGTGGAGCAGAGATCAGCCAGAATATAAGAAAGATACAGAAAGCAAAGGCAGGAGGTTAAATCAGAGAAGCAGTAAAACTAAGACCTTCAGTCTGCATATAACAAATACCCAAAACTATCCAGTTAGATTGATTTAAAGGGAGCATTCAACTCTATGACCCAAAGTCAGAAATTCATGTTTCTAAAGATATTACCAATTATTGGTAAAATTTCTCCATTTCCAGTTCAATAGAATTTGCTTCCAAGATGTTCAAACCCAAATTACCAAACAGCCAAATCCCAGCAGGAGAGCAAGTATGGAAATACTAGCATAGCACTTCAACAAAACCTGTGACATGAAACCCATCACTCTTTTTCACTATACACACATATATATATATATATATATATATATATATATATATATATATATATATATATATATATATATATATATATATGTGTGTGTGTAAAAATCTCAAAATATATATTATTTAATTATTATTATTAGGAAGGCATGATATGCTGGCGATGTTCCCCCAATATAAAACAGCCAGATGTAAAGGTTGCTGAGTTTTTGATAAATAACTGAGGTTGAGGACAGCAGGTCTGACCTGATGTAAAGTTTCAGATCAATTAAATCTACATATAAAGCCTTAAATGGCCAAGCTCCATCTGATATCAGAGATCTGATTGTTCCTTATGTTCCTAACAGAGCACTTCGCTCTCAATCTGCAGGTTTACTAGTGGGTCCTAGAATTTCTAAAAGTAGAATGGGAGGCAGATCTTTTAGTTATCAGGCTCCTCTCCTGTGGAACCAACTACCAGTTTTAGTCCGTGAGGCAGACACCCTGTCTACTTTTAAGGCTAGGCTTAAAACTTTCATTTTTGATAAAGCTTATAGTTAGGGTGGCTCAGGTTATCCTGATCTATCTCTATAGTTCTGCTGCTATAGGCTAAGACTGCTGGAGGACATAGGGACCCCTTTTCATCATTCTGCTTCATTCTATCTCTATTCTCCAACTCTGCAGAATCTGTTAGTTCAATCTCTAACGTTCAGCTCTCTCTGCTTTTTATTAAATCTCCAGACTATCAGGGATTGTAGCTTCTGTCTCCTTGAACCCCAGTGGGCCTCAGCAGATGGCCGCTCACACTGAGCCTGGTTCTGCTGGAGGTTTCTTCCTGTTCAAAGGGAGTTTTTCCTCTCCACTGTCGCTACAAGCATGCTTAGTGTGAGGAATTGCTGAAGAGTCAATGAGTCGATGCAATCAGCTGGTTTTCCTTAGATAGAAAACTTTGAATCAATCTGACTGGATGATCTGGTGAACTGGAAAGTGACCTGAGATGAAATGTGTTGTGAATTGGTCCTAAAGAAATAAACTGAATTAACCTGAATTAGAGAGAAATGTGCTGCAGTGTCAGAAAGCTTGGTCTTAGTTGCGGCTCATGGTTCTTCAACAGAATTAGGAGTCAAAACACAGAAAGAGCCAAGAACGACTGATCCAGGAAGCTTTTTGAATTCAAAAGTCCACCAGCAGACTGAGAGGAAGATATTGGAATGTTCTGAAGGGGCCCCTAGGAACCCTGACCTCAATCCTACTGGGAATCTTTGGAAGGAGCTGAAACAGGCCGTCTGGTAAAGGCAGACTCAAAGCTGAGACACCTGGAGCAGAATATCTGCTGAGGGGAGCAGAGGTCTGACTGATTGATGGTAGGGATCGACTCTAAAGGTTAGGGAACAAAATATTAAACTAACATCATTTTATTTCAGGCCTGTTTCATGAGTTTATCTTCTTTAGTCATTCAGTTGAACCCAGGTTAAAAGAAGATTGTCTTAATTTCTTTTGGTTATTTGCAGATAATTTCTGTCTGTTACTTTGATCAGATTCAAGTTATTTCTGGATTTTTCTTTCATTAAACAACAAAAAAACAAAAAACTAATTTTTTCCACTCACACACATGCAGTAATGTTGCCTTTTAATAATATTAAATGAAATGGACGCGAATGAAAGGCAGTAAAACGGTGGAGGTCATGTCGGGTACCTCTCTGCGCAGAATGCAGTGAACCATTACGATAACAAAACCTTCCAGTGAATCAAACACTGCAAAGAGAATCTGGAAGAGGGCAGAACGCCGGTCAGTGATGGCCAGGACAGCAGACATCCATGTGAGGGCCAAGAGAGGCAAAACCACACAGGAGCTCCACAGTGACGCCCTGCAGGACACCAAGAGAACTACAGTCACCCTGTGGTCAGCGTAAAACACAGCTGAAAACTTTCTATTCACTTATTTATATTTTAGTCTTTTACATAAAAAAGTATAGTCAAAAATACAGAAGATTAATTTCCTCCTTAAAAGAAAAACATAAAATATTACTGCATAGAAATATTCTAGGTGATTATCAAGCCTGTTGCTAGCAGTTTTTACATGTGTAAAATTACATTTATTTCTGGTACTACCATAAACATACGACAGAGTATTAGGGCCAGGCTAGAGATTTATTTATTTTCTTTAAATACAAGAATAAAGTCAGAACTTTAAGAGAATAACATCATAATATTACATAAATGAAGTAATAAAATTACGAGAATAAAGTTGAAAACTGTGAGATTGAAGTCATCAAACCACAACCTGTTTCAGAAAGAAAGCCTCAAACTCCAACCAGCAGGACTAATAGTTTGATGCTGGTGCTAAAAGACTGACTTTATATTCTTAATATTGACATTTTATTCTAATAATGTTGCGACTATATGATCGTAAAATTACGACTTTATTCTGATAATGTTGCGACTTTATTCTCATAATAATATGATTTAATTCTCGTCATGGTATGACTTTATTCTAATAATATTGCGACTTTATTCTAATAATATTGCGACTTTATTCTAATAATTTTGCGACTTTATTCCAATAATATCGCGACTTTATTCTAATAATATTGCAACTTTATTCTAATAATTTTGCGACTTTATTCTAATAATATTGCGACTTTATTCTAATAATATTGCGACTTTATTCTAATAATGTTGCGACTTTATTTTCATAATATTATGATTTAATTCTCGTCATGGTACGACTTTATTCTAATAATTTTGCGACTTTATTCTAATAAGATTGCGACTTTATTCTAATAATTTTGCGACTTTATTCTAATAATTTTGCGACTTTATTCTTGTTATATTATGACTTTATATTTTTTTATAAAAAAAAACAAAACTGAATGTTAGAACTGTAACTATACAGTCATTTGTTTACATTACTGTTTTTCATCACAGTGTTTTTATCACTGCTGCTTAACCTATCAAGTTTAGTCTAGAGAGCTGTTCTTGATGAAATTTCTTTTTGTTTACACTTGTATATACAAAATGACAAAATAAAATCTAAGTCTTTATTCTCATAATATTATGACTTTATTCTGATAATATTATGACTTAATTCTAATAACATTACGACTTAATTCTGATAATATTATGACTTTATAATGTTACGTTATTCTCATAATTCTCATAACTTTATTCTTGTAGTTAAAAATAAGAAAAAATCTCTAGCCTGGTACTAATGCTCCGTCATACAAACAGCATTGTCTATTTGCTCTTTAAGTAAACAGAGATTTCTAAGTCACATTTATTACATGCATGTGTGTTTAAGATGGTTTAGTTAAACCATTTAGGATCTAGTGCCACAGAAAAAGAGAGGGAAGGAGCAAAGGTGAGGGTGGAGTTAAAAAAAAGACGTGGAATGGAGCTGAAACAGAATGCAAAGACAAACAGAGGAGGCAGAGCAGGACAGATAGAAAGAGTCTGAGCTGAAGCTGAAGTCTTGTTCCTCCCTTTCTCTGCTTGTTTGTTTTTTTTTCTTTCTGACTGATCCCATTTGTTCTAATGAGAGTATTAGAGATAAACAAGGACAATTACTGTCCTCAGTGCAAGTGTTCTGAAATTAACTGAGCGTAATCAGCACTTTCGCTTTTAATTACAGAATATCCAGAGGTGGAGAAAGTACTCAGCTAACATAGTGCAGTGCATGCAGTGACAGCAGAATTTTTCTAATTAATCTGCTGTAAAACTAGAGAGAGAAAAGCTCTGAGCTGACACTTTTCTATTGCATCCCTCTGAATAACCGGCCTGAAGTCCTCGCTTCAGAATAATCATCATCTTTATTAGTATGTATACAGATATAAACACAACAGGCACATGTTGACTGTGCAGCGCTTTTATCATCCTACCTGCTGTGGCAGCAGAGTTACCAACAGGAAGGATCCCCTAACCACCAACAAAAACACAATAACAGCTTCAAACATGATGGGAATCAGAACTAACTGCACTCTCATTTCTGTGATGTAATAAATCCTAACTATAGTGAGAAAAAAAAAGATTAATTGGAGCTGATTAACTTTGTGTTACAGTTGTAGTCGCAGTATGAAAATGTTACTGGACAGGTTTTTAAATTTGATGAGATTCTTCTAACCAAACCCAAAGAGGGGAATCTAGAGACAAACAGTCGGTAAAAGTCTGGACAGTCCTTCCCTTCCCAGCTGATTTCTCTTTGGGTTAAAACATTTAGAAAACCATCCATCCTTCCATCAATCATCCATCCATCATCCATCCATCCATGTTTTCAGCACGGAAACATGGACTGATGGAGGGACCAGCATCTACACATCCTGGTCCGTTCCACCTGTTGAAATGTCCGGCCTGTTTTCCAGCTGCAGTTTATTTTAATTCTATTTAAAGTCAAACATTTTCCTCTTTACTGAGATTGTAGATCAGGATGGCAGAATTGAATCATCCAAATGCTCATGGATCAGTACAGGAGGAAAATGAACTGGATCCAATAGAGAAGGAAGCTCCATGGATTCAAACTGCAGCAGCTGAAATGTTTTCCAGTAGGACTGACTATAGACCAAACCAGCCCAAATGAAGCTGCTTTGTTGACTTTTTGTGGATGTGGAGCAATATTTACCTGCTAACCATGACATCCTTCTCCCTGCACTGTTTACATCAATATGCATTTCTTAAAAAATGTTGATTAGTGATATTATTTTAAAATCTGATCCTTGGAAAAAGAAGTCCTTCAGGAAATGGATTCAGGAGATCCCGAATCAGTGGTTTAATCCTCATAGATTACTATTATGGCTTCGCTTTTATGTTTGCTGGTCATGTCGTGTCACGGACTCCACCGGTTTCATTTTCATTTATCAATGTCAAGTTTTGCCCCATTGCTGTGCTCTATGCATCCATAGAGTTTTTCTCTATGTGCACAAAAACACCAGAACCCGAATTCAATGGAGAGAAGCTTAAAAAAACATCAAAGAGAGAAGAGTAATAATGCAAAAAGCAACACTTATGCAAATGAAGTACAAAATGAATTCCAGAAAAAAGTGTTAATGGTGTAAATTAATAAGGTAATCTATCAAATTAAGCACCTAATGCACTCTCAGCTCCAGCATTGATGGCTGGTGTGGGAGCAGCACATTAGAGGTCTTAGAACGCGACTTTTACACATTAAACATGGCCGATGAGGAGAGCTTTTAGGTCGGTCATGTGTCTGAAAATAACCCATTAGCTGCTTTTTTTCAACAAAGTAGAGTTCAGCAAACTTCTTGATTATCATCTGTATCTGGATGGCCTATAATGAGAACCAGGGTTAGCAAAATGATGCTAACAGGGCAGCGAATTGATCAGATAATATAGGAACACCTGCATGTTCTGCAGCACCACCCTTTAAAGCCCAGACCATTAAATAAGTAAAAGAATAGCCAACGTTTTCAAAATTAGAGATGTCATTGAACTTTCAGAGAAATGAAATAAAAAACATACATGTCTAATACATTAGACATGTATGTTTAATCTTTAATACGTTTTCTGTTCCATAAATGTGTCTGATTTTGTAAGTCAGTGTTTTTAAGAATATAAATATTACACTGATGATGCAGAAGTCACAAAAACTCAGTTAAGTGAATCAAATATGATTCACTTGGTTTTAAAGGGATAAAGCATGTAGACACCAGTAGAGGCGTGGTTTAGTTCAGATGTACTGAGAGGACGCCAACTTTAAGCTCTACAGATGACTGTCTGCGGAGATTAGAATCTACATCTAATATTATTTGAAAAACATTTAACTGCTTTAAAATAAAGACGTCATGTATTTTTTGTTAAACTGCATCTTATTCCTATAAATAAAATAAATAATGAATCATTTGGTCTGAGGTTCAGAGATCAGAAGACTTATGGGTTAATACTTCCTGATGTTTTTCTGAGCTTAAAATGATTTTTACTAGAAGTAGTATTGGAGGTGCTTTTCCCACAGAACTAATTCTACAACTCTATGATTATCTCCTGGTTATGTGTTATCATACATTACCAAAAAGCCACAGACATTTTAAAGCCCTTAGGGGTGCCACAGTAGGATCAATACACCAAAACCTGCTGATCTCTCTACTGTAAGCTAGCATTTCTTGTTTTGGTTTGAGGTTATTTCAGCATCCTGTACACTAAGCCGAAGCTAAAAGACTTTCAGCTGGATGCTGTCCAGAGGCAGGTCAGGGTTACAAGGGCTTAAATAGCTGGAAGAACGTTCAAAGGCCACATCTGAAAGGGCTCTGAAGGGTGGAAAGCATCTGAACCGTCCACATTCAACCTCCTGTGCATATTTCTAGAATAAAATTAATAGAACTCAGTTTTACTGTCATTACACTTTCACAAGTAAAGCAACAAGATTAGCAGTGGGCTGCCATTGTGTGGCGAGCGGGGAGAGGTGTGGGGTTAAGGGTCTTGCTCAGGGACCCAGAGTGGCAGTCCATGGAAGTGAGGCTTGAACTCAGAACCTCTGGGACTCAAGCACAATGCCCTAACCACTAGGCCACCACTCCACCCTACTTCCTGCTGTATTTGTTGATGTTTGGGTGTCTCTCTACAGACGGTGCACTGCAGTGGCGACTGGGTATTAACAACTATCCTCAGCTATCAAAGGTTCCCAACTGAAACCCTTACACATCCAACATGTGTGAACAAAGTATGTAGTGATATAAAGAGCGTGTTTTCTGTAGTGTATATTTGCAACATTTGTCTAAAGCAGCAGGTGAAATTTCACAGGCTTTTCACCCAAGATCTCAACCGTACTTCACTAAAAACTTCCAAAATTCCAAAAGCTCCTCAAACTATATTTCTTGGATTCTCAGTGAAGTTTTGATAGTTAGCACAGCTTGGTAGTGACCTTCATGGCATTCCTTCTCAATACTTTAAAGAGCTGCTTTTGTAAGCTTACCAAAGTAACTAATGGTATCATATCCAACGAAATGACACATTTGGTACTACAGAGAATCCTTTGTAATTAATTATTAGATAATTTCTTCCAACCAGAGAAAGATGCTTGCCTCAGCTGAAAAGCCACCTTACCCAGGATGCATGAGTTCATGTCATTGATGTAGCCCTCGATCACGTTCCTTTTTTTGGAAGCTGAACCCAATCCACGACTCTCACAGCCGAAGACCAGAACAGATTAGCTGCTAAAAGTTCCCCTTTCCCTCATATCTGAGTAGAAATTAAAGTGGAGGAAGTGGAGGAAGTGATATCAGTAGGTGCTTTCTGAAGGGGGCGGATCACCACTGCTACACCTAGGATGGCGATGGCCACCCGTTCCTTTCCAGGACAGAGAAGGGCTGGTGCTGTTCAAGAAGCAGAATGATCTGCTTGTCACTGGAGACAACCACAGACAGAAAAAGCACAAATATTTGCTTTTACAAGAAAAATATTCCAACTCGCTGACAGCATCATTTAAACGGCTGGAAAAACAGCAAGGAGACAGGACCCTGGACATTGCCTTGTGGCAATAAGTAAAGAGGCAGAACCCTGGACAGCGCCTGGTAGCACCCAGCAATAAGGCAGGACTCTGGCAAGTGCTTGGTGGAAAACCACAAAGAGGCAGAACCCTGGACAGCGCCTGTTGGCAAAAACAAAAAGGCAAAACCATGGATAGCACCTGGTGGTAACCAGCATAGAGGCAGGACCCTGGACAGCGCCTGGTGGCAAACAGCAAGGAGGCAGGACCCTGGACAGCGCCTGGTGGCAAACAGCAAAGAGGCAGGACCCTTGACAGCGCATGGTGGCAACCAGCAAAAAGGTAGAACCATGGACAGCGCCTGGTGGCAACCGGCAAAGAGGCAGAACCCTGGACAGCGCCTGGTGGCAACCGGCAAAGAGGCAGGACCCTGGACAGCGCCTGGTGGCAACCGGCAAAGAGGCAGGACCCTGGACAGCGCCTGGTGGCAACCGGCAAAGAGGCAGGACCCTGGACAGCGGCTGGTGGCAACCGGATAAGAGGCAGGACCCTGGACAGCGCTTGGTGGCAACCGGATAAGAGGCAGGACCCTGGACAGCGCCTGGTAGCAACCGGCAAAGAGGCAGGACCCTGGACAGCGCCTGGTGGCAACCGGCAAAGAGGCAGGACCCTGGACAGCACCTGGTGGCAAACAGCAAAGAGGCAGGACCCTTGACAGCGCATGGTGGCAACCAGCAAAAAGGTAGAACCATGGACAGCGCCTGGTAGCAACCGGCAAAGAGGCAGGACCCTGGACAGCGCCTGGTGGCAACCGGCAAAGAGGCAGGACCCTGGACATCGCCTGGTAGCAACCGGCAAAGAGGCAGGACCCTTGACAGCGCATGGTGGCAACCAGCAAAAAGGTAGAACCATGGACAGCGCCTGGTGGCAACCGGCAAAGAGGCAGGACCCTGGACAGCGCCTGGTGGCAACCGGCAAAGAGGCAGGACCCTGGACAGCACCTGGTGGCAACCGGATAAGAGGCAGGACCCTGGACAGCACCTGGTGGCAACCGGATAAGAGGCAGGACCCTGGACAGCGCTTGGTGGCAACCGGCAAAGAGGCAGGACCCTGGACAGCACCTGGTGGCAATTGGATAAGAGGCAGGACCCTGGACAGCGCCTGGTGGTAACCGGATAAGAGGCAGGACCCTGGACAGCACCTGGTGGCAACCGGATAAGAGGCAGGACCCTGGACAGCACCTGGTGGCAATTGGATAAGAGGCAGGACCCTGGACAGCGCCTGGTGGTAACCGGATAAGAGGCAGGACCCTGGACAGCGCCTGGTGGTAACCAGCATAGAGGCAGGACCCTGGACAGCGCCTGGTGGCAACCGGCAAAGAGGCAGGACCCTGGACAGCGCCTGGTGGCAACCGGCAAAGAGGCAGGACCCTGGACAGCGCCTGGTGACAACCGGCAAAGAGGCAGGACCCTGGACAGCGCCTGGTGGCAACCGGCAAAGAGGCAGGACCCTGGACAGCACCTGGTGGCAACCGGATAAGAGGCAGGACCCTGGACAGCGCTTGGTGGCAACCGGCAAAGAGGCAGGACCCTGGACAGCGGCTGGTGGCAACCAGCATAGAGGCAGGACCCTGGACAACATGGACCTTCAAAGGCTAAGGAGAGGCAACGACAGAACGGTTGTGAGAACTGGAAGCCACCCAATGTTCTATTAAGTAACAAAGTCAAGAAAAACGATGGATGTATGACTACTGATTTCTTTTCTTTTCAGTTCTATGCTCAACATTTGATCAGCTGATGATCTTTCCGGTTATTAGTTCCGTCTGTTTATTTTGTCTCTTCTGATTCTTTTGGCATTTGAAACTCATCTTATGGCTCAGTTCCAATCCAGCAGAAGGAGATTTGAATACTTGTGAATTTTTTTCTGGTCTTACGATTTTGGTCAGAAGAATCCATCAATTCATCTACAGATGAAAATGGAAGTAAAAAAGTTTTGAAAGGAAAGGTGTCCAAACTTTTCACTGTTGTCAACCTGTTACTAACTGCCTTTTTCTGGACTATCTATGTGTTCTAGCTCTATGTGCTTGTTTGTGATGCAGATATTTGGCACACTCACATTAACTCCACAAAAAAAACATGCCTGCTGGTCATGAGTTGTCAGCATACAAACTATGAGGTGGAATGATTAGTTGAAATTGTTCAGGCACACCACTGGAGATATGAATTAGCTATTTCTGGACAACATTTGGACTCTAGAGCTGCTTGCTTTGCAAATATGAGGAAAACCATACACCTAACTCATCAAGTTAGAACAGGATTTAATGTCAAAGAAGCTAAAGTTGGAAAATGATGTTAAAAAGAAAGAGGTGATCAATTGAGGCACTTACGGATCACAGCAAGGCGCACACACACAAATAATAACTGTGTGTGGCTGGCCTCTCTGCAAACATGGCCTCCTTATTGACAGCTTTGTGACTCTTATGAGACAAACACACACACACACACACACTTTCATTCAGTCATTTAACAGAGAGGAATAGGCATTTACATCACAGAGTTAAAAAGATTTCTTTGGAGGAACATATCAGGACCCTGACTGCAAAGGGCATTGTTTGGAAAAAAAAGAAAATGACAGAAGGAGAAAGACAGAAAACGAGTCAAGTGAGGAAAAAGGAGAGCGTACAGCAGAGGAAGGAGAGAAGAGTTCAGTAAAAATAATTAGCGGGACTAACATGGCGTTACTGGTAGCTGTGGTGGAAACGTCAGCCGAAGAGATAACTCCACACTTGGCACATTTGAGCGTCATATTGTACAGTGGCACTGTCATCTGACTGCAAAGTCAAATTAACACGCTGTAACATACACAAACAGATACAAGTGCACCTACACATAGACTCACACTGAAATGTGTGTGAATCACACACCCCCACACACACACACACAGTGTTCTCGCTCAGTCTCTCTCTCAGGGCTACAGTCCAGCATGAAGTTATCTAAGTGTTTGGTTGGAAGTGTAAAAGGGACAGGGAAAGGTCAGGGGAAGGTCAGGGAAAGGTCAGGACCCTGGAGCGCTTATTCTGTCTTCCAGGAGCCAATATATTGGGAGGAGGGTACCGTGGATCTAAATCAGCTTAGATTATTTCATACAGCATGTGGCCGAGGTGCTGATTGTGTTCGAGGCAGAAGCTAAATCAAAAAACATATAGCAAAGAATAAGGCTAAATGATGATTTCCTCCTTCATAAACATCAGGCTTAAAAAGGGAACCATGGTTACTGAACCAACTCTTGCTGCCAATTTTTTTGTTATTTCTTGGATTTAAAAATCGAAATCTGTTCACTTTTATGCAATGAAGAGTCCAAGCTTAAAGCACAACGTTAAGATGGAAGGAAGAAGGAAACATAGCAGCTGATGAAGGCTCCTACTTCGACCCCGAGCATTTAAAATAACTCTATTCCAGCCAGGTAAAAAATCTTGTTGAGAGTAAAACCAGTTTTCTTCAGGCACCTGGAAGGACAGCTCTATAGCTATGATCGAAATGTACTTTAATGCATAGAATAAGTGCAATCCTATAAGGTGAAACATGGATCAAGCAAAAGATCAGGTTGGAACATTCAGTCCTCAGTGAGAAAGGCCTCTTCAATCGGCCAATTAGATCTGTAGCAAGCCACTACGCTAAATCTAAAAAACTGGACATAAAAAACGCTCAAACATTCTGGTTATAAGAGACAAACATGCTGTACTGACTGATCCGGTTCAGCAACTGATCCGATTCAGCGAATGATCCAGTTCAGCAAATGATCCGGTTCATCGAATGATCCTGTTCATCGACCGATCAGGTTCACTGACTGATCCGGTTCACTGACTGATACGGTTCACTGACTAATCCAGTTCACTGACTGATCCGGTTCACTTTCTGATCCGGTTCACTGACTGATTCACTTCACTGAAGGATCAGGTTCACTGACTTGTTCCGGATCACTGACTGATTGGTTCACTGACCGATCGGGTTTTTTTTTATTATAGTTTTTACTGAATGATCCGGCTCACTGACTTGATCCGCATCACTGATGGATCTAGTTAACTGAATGAACCGGTTCAATGAATGATCTGCATCACTGATGGATCTAGTTAACTGAATGATCCGGTTCAATGAATGATCCGCATCACCGAAAGATCTGGAGAGAACCGGAGAGATAGAGCTTCAAGGATGCATTCACAGAACCTATCTTTAACAAAGGTTTACTTACTGACACAGTTCACTGAATGACCCGGATTACTGAATGATTCTGTTCACTGCCTGATCTGGTTCAATGAGGAGAAGAACACCCGTTCACCTCAGACAGCCTGCGCTGTGATCTCACCCTCCCCACCCCCCAATGTGCCAATCCTTAAGCTGCTGCAACCATAGACCAGTGTCACTATTAAAAAAAAGAGTCATTTCTAAATGTTAAAATAAGTCAATTTCTGTCTGGTTTTCTTTATTTGAACCATTCATTTTGTCTCTGTGATAAATGGCAGATGCTCACTCTGGAAATGCATTGCTTGTTTATTTGTTTGTTTCCAATATTTACTAAAGTAGAGCCAATTATTTAGTCTTTCTCTAGATTTGCTGAAGACCACCGTCTAGACTAGATATTCTAAAAAAAAAACAACCCAATGTCAAATACTTTTATGTAATCTCTGTTATGATCTCAAACATCCAAAAGCTTCACTTTATAAAATTCTGGGTACATCAATACTTTTGGTGGCCAGTATCGAAAGGTAATAACCAACTAATAGCTTCCAAGGTGGCCTTTCACTAAACCACTATTAGAGTTCAGGGAATCGATTTCTTGCAATAGGACGACCAAATAAAAAATACATAATGTGATGGAATAAATTCAATTTCTACCAAAAGGGCAAGGGAGCTGTTAAATTGGCACTGGAGGCAGTGCCATTAAAAAGCTATTTGGCCATCAGCCGACACAGCTTGCGGGGGGGAGGGGGGGTTGGGGGGTTACTATCCAAACAGAGAGCTCTATCTTAATATTTGACATGAAGATGGACATAAATGAGTGAAGAGCTCCAAAAGATATCCAACCAAAGAGGACCAAAGTCTGCCTTAAAGTTTGGCCTGCAGTGTTGAAGTAGTTTGTTTTTCTTATTATCACCTCCTGTCCTGTTCACTCTACCAACCACTTTAACTTCAGTGTTCAGGGGACAGGATCCTCCAAAGTGGGAGGAGTCCTTAGATTCCACTGGACACTTCATAAAATGTTGGACGAGGGAATTAGCTTCATTAAGCATGTTTTCTGTTCAGAGCAGGGCAGCAGGTCCAGGATGGAGGCCAGTCAGGCTCCCTATACAGCAGATTTAACAGCTTCCTTCTCCTCTTTGCTGTTTCAAAGCAACATTGACCAATCAGCGCTAAATCTAAGGGCTTTCTAACCAAACATGAGACGACATGTCCAGTGGAAAGGATGGCATCTAAATATTCTCCAAAAAGGTGCAGCTGGAAAGTAATGCATTTGCTGGGCTATTATCAAAGATGGAACCCATAATTAACCCATGTTAGATTTATTCTTAAGGCTAAATTGTACAAAATCTAATCCCGTATTAACTGGAAGTAGCACAGGTATTAAAATAAATAAATAAACCAACACTGCCATGTTTAAAACTATTCAACTGAAAGTCAGGCTGTGCCCACATTACGTTAATAATGATAATATAACGATCCATCAATAGTTTAGTTTTCTCCTTCTTCTTTTATTGTTTAACAGCAGCTTCAAGTTTATTACTGCCACCAACTGGTAAGGAGTGTAACAGCTTCGTCAGGGGTGTAGATTCATACTCGTTCATCTGTGATTTACTTGGTTTGTTGCAAAGATATAATTCGTATTTGTAATTCTAAACCTGTATTTTCCGAGCGAAATTCATCTATAGGGTACAACCTTTGTCCTTCAGGCCCCGCCCCTTATGATATGTTCACACCGGACAAACTTTCAGCAACAGAAGCAGCTGTTTTACTTGCAAATTGTATAGTTGACGTGTATCAAGTTGCATCCAAAGCTCCTGCAGCGCATCTCTAGCAGCAGCGCCTAACTAGCTTCTGAGCATCTGAGACACTTCACAAGCAGCAGATGGTGGAGTTGGAAAAAATGTTATGTTTGCTGCCGGTCACGCCACATCAACCAATCACAGAAGCTGATCTGGGAGCTGGCAGGGAGTCGGACACAGCACTGCTGATGCAGAGCGCTATGATCACTCCTCTGAAACAGTTTATTAACGCCTAAATTAACTTCAAATGTAGAAACCTGCCGGCAGAATATGTTGGCTTTTATTATCCTGCTGCCTGCAGTTTGTAGCACAGACCTGAAAACGTCCACGGTGGACCCCGCCTCTCGCCCGTAGATAGCTGGAGATAGGCAACAGCATCAAAACTCGCTTCAACTTTAAAAAGACTAGAGTCACTGAAATCAGCAGAGGTTGGGCCAATTATTCTGAAAGGCTCAATGACTGTGACAACGTCCATCAAACAACACCACACATTTATTTCATTAAAATAAAGCTTTCTGTCAGAATATCGAGTAAGAAGCCATTTTATCTGTAATTATTAATCCATTAGAAAATACTACTGACTTGTTAAAATGGAATCAGATTTCTATATTTACCAGTTTTTATGTTTCTTGATTTTCCCCCATATATCAAATAAACTCACCTACAATGTTGCTTCTCACCATCCGCCAAACATGCGTATATATTCCTGCATCGTGTTATTAAGGCAGTTTGTTACTAAACAGAAACAACCATAAAAATCCATCCATTTTCGGACACGCTTAATCCCAAGTGGGGTCGCGAGTGGAAACCATAAACATGAAAGTATTTTCATTTTTAAACTGTAATGAGTAAACCGAGAAAACCATTATTCGATTGTTTCGCACTAAACAGAAAGAAAAAACAAATAACGATATTTAAATATTTTTTTATTCCATGAGACAAAAAGGCCTGAGGAGCTTCCTTTTATTCCATGGAAATAAAAGTTGGACTTTGAGAGCAGATGTAACAACCAAAAATTGACAGGGGGTTCAATTAATCTGTCGATAACTTTTCAATTAATTATCAGAAAGCCAAAGGTTCCTCAAAGAAGACTTTTTCAGACTTGAACTTCCAAAAGCATTTAAAGACAATTACAAGGTGGGCTTTCTATCACCTGAAGAACATTTCCAGGATTAAAGGACTAATGTCTCAGCATGATCTGGAAAAACGAATCCATGCGTTTATTTTTAGTCGAATTGATTACTGCAACGGTGTTTTCACAGGTCTGCCTAAAAAGTGGATCAGACAGCTGCAGCTGATCCAGAACGCTGCTGCCCGTGTCCTCACTAAGACTAAGAAAGTAGAGCACATCACCCCGGTTCTAAAGTCCTTCCACTGGCTCCCTGTATCTCAGAGAATAGACTTTAAAATCCTTCTGTTAGCCTATAAATCTCTGAATGGCTTAGCACCTAAATGCATCACAGACTTGCTATCAGTGTATCAACCCTCCAGACCACTCAGGTCTTCTGGCTCCAGCCTGCTCTGCAGACCTAGAACCAGAACTAAACATGGAGAAGCAGAATTTAGTTCCTATGCTCCACTTATCTGGAACAAACTTCCAGAAAACTGGAAAAGTGCGGAAAGCCTGAGTTCCATTAAATCAAGACTAAAAACACATTTGTTTAGGATTGCCTTCCACTGTTCTAGTTAAACAGTTCAACTAAAACATTTTTTCTTTAGTCCAATTATTTTGTAATATTCTTGTTTGTTGCTGCATTTTTTAATCTTATTTTATTTATTTTTTAATTTTTTCCTACTTGCTTTGATTCTGTTTTATTTTCCTATATTTTAATGATGTAAAGCACTTTGCATTGTCTTTGTACTGAATTGTGCTATACAAATAAATGTGCTTTGCCTTGCCTTGCCTTTTTATGAAATTAAACCAGGTGAAACTCTTTCCATTTAAAGAGTTCTGGATAGAAAACAGATGGAAACGTGTTTTTATTTATCTTAAATGCAAAATGTTTATATATTTTGGGCAAAAATGTGTCCCTCTATTAGCTAAAGGCGTGTCTTATTTTTAAAAAAGTTTTTGCGGCACTTGTGGCTTGCTTTTTCTGACAGTAGACTGATAGGGGGGTATGAGAGAGGTGGGGGGACATGCCGCAAAGGACCACAGGTCTGATTCGAACCCGGGTCGGTTGCGTCGAGGACTAAGGCCTCCGTTCAATGGGTCGTGTGCTCCAACCACGCGAAGTAATGCATTTGCTGGGTTAGCTGCCCCACCTGCACGCAGACAGGTGGGGCAGCTAACTTCGCGTTTCTGCAAACTGGCCATCAGCAATATAAGAATGGATTTTCTTGGACGTTTCTGCTGTTTTTTTTTATCCCTGTATAAAAAAAAACAACAAATATGAGTAAAAATTAATCTAGTGCAAAAAAGGTCTGAAGTTGGATACTGGTATTGATCCGTTTTCTGGTTAGGGCTCAAACAACAACACAATAGTATGTTTTTGTTTTCTTCAGTAAAAGCTTCAAATGAGGAAACAAACTGCCTGAATAAACATGGTCCATTTCTACCTATAGTAGGACTTTATATAAACTGTCAAACGTCTATTTACTGCATTTATGCCTAATTTAATTTACACTATACCTTTAAACCCACCACTAACATTAACATCAGGGGTTCGTCACGTTTGGTGGATTACGTCCTGCCTGTCGTTAGAAGGCTGGTAAATACAGCAGGTGCTAAAGAGCAAGCATAAACACGGACACACAGCCATCATTTCATTCAGAAAAATCACTCCAATGAGAAATATGGACAGAAAATAAATAGGACTCCTATTGGTTACTGACAGGAAAATTCTCTAAAAGCAGTGGAGAAAAGATCAGGTCCTACAGCAGCGTTAGGGTCTATCAGCTGAAAGGAGGCAGGAGGAGTGAGAACAGGAAGGAAACAGTTAGCCAATCAGAGGCGCTCGCTAGAGGAATCAGCTGCTTTGAAGCTGGTCGCATTAAAGAGGAGAGTGGGATGGGCAGAAATTTTTACCCAATCACTGCTGAGATGGGAGGGGGCGTCTGAGACTGAAGTGTTCCTGACTGGAGAGCCCTGAGTGAGAGAGAGGGGATTCTGTGCAAACTCAAACATTTCAGACAGCAGAACGACACAGTGAACAGAGAGATCATTGGAAAAAAGCAACAAACTTTTCAGAGAGAGAGAAACAAACAGAAACAGTTGAATGAACCAACAATGCTAATGGAGATGGAAAACAGCCCGAGGAGTAAAGGGAATCAGGGTGTATGTCGCTTCTGATCAATAACCAACAGAGCAAAGCTAAAAGTCCAAACAGAACTCTAAACACAGTTTATGTCCAACAGAAGTGCCATTTTAGCCTCTAATGTGGAGACCCGAGTACCGCTGCCGCCCCACACTGAGACCGGATCACGACAGACCGGACCTGGCTGACTCCTGAAGTTTGCTTATGGAAAATTAAGAACTTGAGGACCAAATAGGACACACTGTGCTTAATGTGTGAAGGTTTTTAGCTTTAGATCCTGGTGGAGAACAGGGGAGTCAAAGAGGGAGGGGTCCTTCTTTTTTTTGTTGTCATAGAAGATTCAAATTTTTCTAGGTGATGTTTTCATGAAAGCTGTAGTTTGCCTCTAATCCTGGAAGGTAGAAGACAGACTACATAAAGGGCAATTTAAGGAGGCCATTGGGTCATAGCGCAGTTTGTAGGATGAACCTGGAGCAACCAGGGAGGATCCATATACACACAAAGGAACATGCAAACCCCTCTCCAGGCAAGGACTTTATTTTGGTGAAGAAACTGCTGCTCCACACTCAAAACAAACTCAAAAACTTCAATCCTGGTATCTTTTTAAAAACCAGTTTGGTAACCAGACCTTCAGGTTCAGTAGATTCTCAGCAGTCGATGTTTGCTTCCACCAGCTGCTGAAATAAACCTCAATCAGGCTTTTATCGTAGACTGAGGCCCGCAGAGAAAAATCACTTTGAGCTGAATCGGAAGCTTGTCTGACAAAAAAGCCGAATCAACTGTGCTGTACACGTCACATGGTCCAATAGACCAGACAAACCATCCAGCCAGAGTGCGAAATACGGGGGGGTCCGGGGGGGCTCAACCCCCCCGTTTAACCCATGAGACCCCCTGAAAGCCTCAAAAGCAAAATTTAAGGGCGGGTCTTAAATTGTGTCAAAAATAGTTAGCATACGCGCTAACTAGCGGCTACTGTTAACATGTTGTTTATGTCATTATGTGTTTCTGTATGTATTCAGGGAATATGTTAAGTTTATTATTTAGGAGAATTGTGCCTGTTTACACAAAGACTTATGCACATTATTTCTTTGTTTCAGTTTTACCATTCATTCATCCATCTATACCAGCCAATAAATCCAAAGAAAAGGCTAACGGTGTGGTTATTGCAAATGATGGTTATCTAACTGCTAAGCTAAGAGTGAGGGCAGGACGTAAATTATTTTTTTGTCGCTAATGGTCACTAAAATGTTTTTAAGCTCAACATGTCCAGTATTAAAATTCAAAACCTTTATTCACAAATATGCTCTGTCTCCTGCACTACTATTAATACTATATTTATTTACTGTTATTTTGCACTGTTACTGTTACAAATGTATCTTACATAATTGGTAATAATAATAATTTTTCTGCTGCCATTACCATCTGCCTTTTTGCACTAGCATAAGTATTGCATATTTTATATTTTATACATTTTATATTTTATTGTGAAATTGAATGTTTAAATTTTAGTATTAGGAGCTGATCTTATCTGTTGTGCACTTTATCGGTTTCACTGTTGGTGAAAGAGAAACGAACGTCCTCTCGAGTCCTTGTATGTCTGGTGAATCTGAAGAATTGACATTAAAGCTGACTTGACTTTGTAATGTTATAGGCCTACTGCATATTGAGAAAATTTAGATCGGTATTGCGCAACAATCGGGAGATGGGGACCCCCCCAAATATTGACAGGTATTTCGCACACTGCATCCAGCATCGACACATCCACAGCTAACCCTTATCTTAGCCTAGCTAACGCCTCTTAGGGACACACATTAAGACAGGCTTAATGTTTTGGACTTTAAGAGGAGAGTCTATCTCGCATTTAATGTGGATCACATGGTTTCATATGTGGCTCAAAGAAAATCTGAAGGAAATTTGAAAGAAAAACAGTCCTAAGACTCTTAGGATGAATATCAGTCAGTAGTTTTGTGTACAATTCCTGCAAATATTGTAATCATCTTTTTTTCTTTAAATAAACACATTTTCCCTTAATTTCAGCAGGCAGGAAAGACAATTTGCAAAATGAAAATAAATAATAAAAAGAGGATTATCTTATTTTATGTGCATTGCATTTCCTTGCTTTATTTTAAGGGGGAAAAACTCGTCCCATTGGCAAATCGTCTTATTTTCCTGCACACATTAAAAGCAAACACAGTAGAAATCTTTACTTATTTTTAGAAAGTATTTTCAGTGAAAGCTTCAATATTAGTCAGCAGGAGCGGTGCTATATCAAAACCTTTTTTAATAAAAAACAAAACACTCCAAACTATTTACTGATGTATAATCAGAAGCATTCGGACCCGAAGAACAGAAAGCGGAAGCAGAGATAACTGGTTTTTGCACCCTGATCCCCTTTACTAAAGAGAGAAACAGAAGCAGGGTTGGGAAGTGGATGGATTCAGAGCAACACCTGCAAACAAAGAGCAGCTGGAGGAGAAACAACAGAAAGCAATGAGATGAGTCAGTCTGTGAGGACCATTAACCAGACCGCTTCCTTTCCTCTGTCACGTCCGGCCGGTTGGATCGCACCAATCAGGTGGTCGACTTTAGCCAATTCAGCCCACCCCCCCATTAGCAGCCGGGCTGGTTAGAGGTCACCCAGAATAAGGAAAGTGTGCTTTAAGGCATACCCCGCCCTCTCCTTTAGTTTCATATCAGTAATGCCGTCTTTGGAGACCAGTTTGTTAAAAACGAGAATCCCAATAACCATGTTAACCTGCCGAAGACAAGAAGCACAGAGTTAAAGCAGAGTAAAGGCACTTGTCATAGTTCAAAGCATGCAGCAGCACTGTAGAGAGGATGATGATGATGACGGTGGCGTTCACCACTACGACAGCGGCATGCACATCAGCAGCTAAACCTGTTCACTCTTTCTGAAGTGCATCTCGTTTAAATTTAGTGACAATCGTGAAATGCAGCGACAGACATTAAGACGTGAAGGATGGAAAACCAACAGAGAGCATGCAGGAGATGGATGGATGTCCCCCAAACAGCAGGCGTGATCTGATAGCGGTCAGAGTACAGGACAGCTAAACTCAGCCACAGAGGCGGTCTGAGCGACCCGGAGGCCAGAGGACCGCGGTTAGAACAGGACATCAAACATGGTTCTCGCCGCCTACAGACAGCCTCATTAACCTTATTTTATGGCCACAGCGTCAACATTACACCTGGATTTATAGATTTATCTAGGATCTGACCTTTATTTTTCTAGAATAGTGTTTCATCATTATAGGATGAAAAAGGCCTGAAAGAAACAAATCAGGAAGGAAGGTCCAGCTGTGGCGCAGAGCTGGATTTCCAGACATTAGCGGTAAATAAGCGGTCAGTGGCCGGCCTGAGGGCCCTCACTGCAGACTGGGAGCTGCTCTACCAGGCACAGATGATCTGGATCTGCTGGTTTCACTCAGAGAGAGGAGAGGTCACTGATACTCTGAGCACATTTATAACAATACAGGCAAATGTTTTAATCATTTCTAGATAAATAACTTCTCTGAATAACTATTTTCTATTCTAGAATAGTTTGGGCTTTCATCTTTAGGGAAAACTGGACATGAGAGGCAGAAGGTCAGGGGTTAAACGTCTCAGTGCTTGGGGTGATGGGATGGTGTTCTCTGTTGCAACACAAACTAAAGATGGTTTGTTAGTGAGGGTCTGATAACATTTTCAGCACCATGGAGAGTGAAGCTGTTGTCATCAGTGACTTTCTGAGCTGATTGTGAAGAACTGACCTGTTTATTAAAAGGATCATTCACTAATCTTTTCAGTACAATCAATGGAAAGTTAATGCTGAACTTGAAAACCTCAGTCTGAGGGAATAAAATGTTTTAAAGTTTAAAATAAACTTAAATGCGTGATCGATAATAATCCGATTTACTGGGATATGACGGGGATTCTGCCTGTTCTCATTTGGTTCTGGTTCTGCACGGTTTATACCAACAGATTTAGTCCCAGATAAACAGCAGAAAATCTACTGTTTGACATCAGGGAGACATGGCAGCGATTTAGGAACAGCTCTGATGTGATCCGTGTCCTGGTTCTGGTCGGAGCTCCTGGTAGATTGATCTAAGCTGTAATGGTTCCATAAAGCCTGCTTGACTTTTTCAGAAGGTCTAGATCTATCAAAGGTCAAAGGTCGTCTGACCCACCAGTGTACCAAGTTCTGTCGATGATTTGTAGTAAAATAAAATAATTAAGGTAACTGGAGTCTGTTTTTTTTGTCCAACTGGTAAAGATCCTTAGGCAGACATGCAGCCACACATTCCCTCGACCGCACCAGTTAAACATTCATATCCTGACATGTTTAAACAGGAGAAACAGTCAGCACACAAAGACTGAGGAAAAAAACAGGGAAACATGAAAACTGAAAGCAATTACTAAAATGTAGGAACTTAAAACAAATGAAAGTTGAGCGATAAAAACACCCAGCAAAAAACAAAGGAGCAATTAGGCAGAAAAAAAAGGGGGGGGGACATAATGGAGAATGAAGCTATAGAAGAAGAAAGAGAAACAGATGTTAAATCATGCAGACAGAGTAGAGGAAAATGGAAAAGTAGAGAATCGAGAGCTTTTTAACGCTTCAGTTCGTCCTCTGAGGATTTTCCTCTTTTTCTCACTATTTCCTCTTCCTGGGAGCCGAAATTTACTCACCTTCTGGAATATTCCAGCTAGTGCTGATCACCAGTTCTCATGGTTTCTAAATTCTCCAAATGAAGAAAACTATTTGATCGGAATCCAGAAATTGTACCGAGCTAGAATGACAGAGGAGCCGAAACAAACCAGAGTCACTGTGGACCAATGAAACCAGTTTACAGAGACTGGCCAGAGGGTCACCAGTGGTCCATCCATGAATCTGACTAGTCTACACAGTGATGAATAAAGGGTTGAATTCTGAACCGGCAGGATGACAGCTGTCCTTCTTCAGATGTTCATTGTAGATCACTTAAAAAGACTGACGTCTCTCCTGTTTCCTCTTGTCTGGATAGAAACTGTTTATATAAAGATGTCTTCCGACTCAGCCATGAGAAAACCGAATAAATCCTCCCTCTGTCTGCCATATTCACACATATTGACCACATGGGATGGATTATAATCAGGCATGCACCCATCTGAACATTTGGGCCGGTCCTGATGTTGGTGACAATCAAAACCTAAAAGTACATCTTCATTACCTTAATGGTCTGGATGGTCTCCAAACATCTGTAAGGTCTGGATGGTCTCCAAACATCTGCATGGTCTCTAAACGTCTGTAAGGTCTGGATGGTCTCTAAACGTCTGTAAGGTCTGGATGGTCTCTAAACGTCTGCATGGTCTCTAAACGTTTGTAAGGTCTGGATGGTCTCTAAACGTCTGCATGGTCTGGATGGTCTCTAAACGTCTGTAAGGTCTGGATGGTCTCTAAACGTCTGCATGGTCTCTAAACGTCTGTAAGGTCTGGATGGTCTCTAAACGTCTGCATGGTCTGGATGGTCTCTAAACGTCTGTAAGGTCTGGATGGTCTCTAAACGTCTGTAAGGTCTGGATGGTCTCTAAACGTCTGCATGGTCTGGATGGTCTCTAAACGTCTGTAAGGTCTGCATGGTCTCTAAACGTCTGCATGGTCTCTAAACGCCTGTAAGGTCTGGATGGTCTCTAAACGTCTGCATGGTCTGGATGGTCTCTAAACATCTGTAAGGTCTGGATGGTCTCTAAACGTCTGTAAGGTCTGGATAGTCTCTAAACGTCTGCGTGGTCTGGATGGTCTCTAAACGTCTGTAAGGTCTGGATGGTCTCTAAATGTCTGTAAGGTCTGGATGGTCTCCAAACATCTGCAAGGTCTCTAAATGTCTGTAAGGTCTGGATGGTCTCTAAACGTCTGCATGGTCTGGATGGTCTCCAAACATCTGCATGGTCTCTAAACGTCTGTAAGGTCTGGATGGTCTTTAAACGTCTGCATAGTCTGGATGGTCTCTAAATGTCTGTAAGGTCTGGATGGTCTCTAAACATCTGCATGTTCTCTAAACATCTGCATGGTCTGGATGGTCTCCAAATATCTGCATGGTCTCTAAACGTCTGTAAGGTCTGGATGGTCTTTAAACGTCTGCATGGTCTGGATGGTCTCTAAACGTCTGCATGGTCTGGATGGTCTCCAAACATCTGCATGGTCTCTAAACGTCTGTAAGGTCTGGATAGTCTTTAAACGTCTGCATAGTCTGGATGGTCTCTAAATGTCTGCATGGTCTGGATGGTCTCTAAACGTCTGTAAGGTCTGGATGGTCTCTAAATGTCTGTAAGGTCTGGATGGTCTCCAAACATCTGCATGGTCTGGATGGTCTCTAAACGTCTGTAAGGTCTGGATGGTCTCTAAATGTCTGTAAGGTCTGGATGGTCTCCAAACATCTGCATGGTCTCTAAACGTCTGTAAGGTCTGGATGGTCTCTAAACGTCTGCATGGTCTGGATGGTCTCTAAACATCTGTAAGGTCTGGATGGTCTCTAAATGTCTGTTAGGTATGGATGGTCTCCAAACATCTGCATGGTCTCTAAACGTCTGCATAGTCTGGATGGTCTCTAAATGTCTGCATGGTCTCTAAACTTCTGCATGGTCTGGATGGTCTCTAAACGTCTGTAAGGTCTGGATGGTCTCTAAATGTCTGTAAGGTCTGGATGGTCTCCAAACATCTGCATGGTCTCTAAACGTCTGTAAGGTCTGAATGGTCTCTAAACGTCTGCATGGTCTGGATGGTCTCTAAACATCTGTAAGGTCTGGATAGTCTCTAAATGTCTGTAAGGTCTGGATGGTCTCCAAACATCTGCATGGTCTCTAAACGTCTGTAAGGTCTGGATGGTCTCTAAACTTCTGCATGGTCTGGATGGACTCTAAACCACTGTAAGGTCTGGATGGTCCCTAAATGTCTATAAGGTCTGGATGGTCTCCAAACATCTTCATGGTCTCTAAACGTCTGTAAGGTCTGGATAGTCTCTAAATGTCTGTAAGGTCTGGATGGTCTCCAAACATCTGCATGGTCTCTAAACGTCTGGATGGTCTCTAAACTTCTGCATGGTCTGGATGGACTCTAAACATCTGTAAGGTCTGGATGGTCTCTAAATGTCTATAAGGTCTGGATGGTCTCCAAACATCTTCATGGTCTCTAAACGTCTGTAAGGTCTGGATGGTCTCTAAACGTCTGTAAGGTCTCTAAACTTCTGCATGGTCTGGATGGTCTCTAAACGTCTTTAAGGTCTGGATGGTCTCTAAACTTCTGCATGGTCTGGATGGTCTCTTAACGTCTGCATGGTCTGGATGGTCTCTAAATGTCTGTAAGGTCTGGATGGTCTCCAAACATCTGCATGGTCTCTAAACGTCTGTAAGGTCTGGATGGTCTCTAAACGTCTGCATGGTCTGGATGGTCTCTAAACGCCTGCATGGTCTGGATGGTCTCTAAGGACGTGAAAAAGCTATGTACTGTAGCTCCTCTGAAACCAAATGAGTTTGGCAGAAATGTTTTTCTTTGCATTTCCTGCATAAAAAAAAACTCTAATTTCCTTGTTTAATTTCAGTGAATGTTGGTCTGTCAGGTCTGTGTGCTGCAGGTGATCTACGGAGGATCAGTCGTGCAAAGGGGTTCACTTCTGCCACATTTTAGGAAGCAAAGTTCCTGCACTGGCATTTTGGTTAGAGCGGTCAAGCTTAGGTAACACTGAAGAATTTAATGAAGCATTTACTGAGACATTTGATTTAGAGTGTACTGGGGCATTTAAAGAGAGATTTACAGAAGTATTTAATGAAGCATCAACTGAGGTATTTAATTAAACTTTTGCTGAAGCATTTAATGAGGAATTTAATGACACATTAAAGGGCATTTAATGGAGAGCATACGGAGACATTTAATGAAATAAATATCGAGGTATTTAATGAGGCATTTACTGAGGCATTTATAGTGAGGAATTAAATTACATTTAATGAAGCATTTAATGAAGCTTGTACTGAAGCATCAAATGAGGCATCTTTTTGAGGTATTTACTAAGGCATTTATCGTGAAGAATTGAATGATACATTTAATGAAGCATTTAATTAAGAATCTACTGAGTAATCAAATGAGGCATCTTTCTGAGGCATTTACTGAGGCATTTGATGGAGAACATACTGAGGCATTTACTGAGGCATTTATAGTGGAGAATTGAATGACACATTTAATAAGGCATTTAATTAAGAATCTACTGAAGCATATAATGAGGCATTAAATGAAGAATGCACTAAGGCACTTATTGAGACTTTTAAATAGGCATTCAATTAAGTATTTAAAGAGGCATTTAATGAAGCATTTTGCTAGGGCATTTTATGAAGCATTTACTGATGCATCTAGTGCAGCATTTAACGAAGCATTAAGGCAAAAACGTAGGTCTGACATATTGCCTGTAGTGCAGTTGATTTTTACACATTCATAAGTAATCGAGAAAACAATTTAACAAAAACGAAAAAAGGAACAATTTTTCTTTTTCTTCTAGAATAAATGGTGGTTTCCATTGGTTACAGGTGCTTACAGTAGGCCTATTTTCTAAGCTTACTTTTAGGTTTTTCTTAATATAGTTAACGATTAATAGTTCATCCGTTCATCAATTAAAACAGCTTTAAATATTCTGTGTTTTAGTCATTAAAGGGAACTTATGGTGGAGAAAAAATGTGTTTGGGGTTTGGGCATCAATTTACCATGACGGACCCACAAACAAACTGATGAAAACTTGCAAAACCAGAGATCCTGTGAAATTATAGGCCATTACCAGTTTAAAGGCCTGGGTCAAAAGCTGCCTTCTTTGTTTTTCTCAATTCCTGAAGCATTTATGGAAATAATGTGTTTAAATCTCATCCACATACAAACAGCCGAGGATGTCTATGGTAAATTGGTCCAAAACATGCATCTCAAAAAAACCCAAAGCATTCAGTTTCAATGTGATAATGTGTTATATGGCGGTGGCTGCAGGCGATGATGAACTTAGCTTTGATGAAGAAGGTTTGAGAGTGAGGAAATACACAAAAAGAAAAGACAATACCAAGACTACAGCTGCAGCAGGTCCAACAAACGCATAGAGAAGCCCTCCTTCCAAGGACAGCCAGCAGCTTCCAAAGGGCAGCAGGAGAAAGAAAAGTGGAGCCAGATGGTTGGATGTTTGGGTTGGTGAGAAAGGGGCAGAAACAGAGAGGGTTGCAATAGGAAGGAATGAGAGAAGTGTCGGCAAATAAGAGGGAGGAACATGAAATATGGATAAAACAAAGGAAGAGAAAAGGTTAATTAAGCCGTAAACATAAACCTTCTCATGTGTAACATTGCAGCTTTAATATCAGGCTCCTCTCCTGTAGAACCAGCTACCAATTTAGTCATTGAGGCACACCCTGTCTTCTTATTATGCAAGGCTTAAAATGTTCCCTCTTATAAAGCTTATAGTAAAAAACATAGTGATGTGTGCCCAGCTGCTGGGTAAGTAGATAGGTAGATGGAGGTAGAGTGTTAACAGTCTGACCAGGCGAGGGAGAATTTTAGTCCAGATAGATATTTCTCCTTGGCTCTAACTTTCTTATAACACATCAAAAATACTTTACTATTTTCTGCATTTGTGCTGCTATAGGCTTAGACTGCTGGAGGACATAGGGACCCCTTTTTCATCATTCTGCTTCATTCTATCTCTATTCTCCCACTCTGCAGAATCTGTTAGTTCAATCTCTAACGTTCTGCTCTCTCTGCTTTTCCTCATAGTAGCTTCATCTGGTCTGTTCCTGTTTGGCTGTGACTCCATCCTGGAGAGAAATATCAGCTGTGCTGCTGCCATCAACACCTTTGTTTCTAGATGTTGGAGCTTGGCCTGTTTTCCAGTGTAGTCCTGTTTCTCTGACTGTGACTAACTGGATTTGTTCTCTTCATCCTCTGACTGACAGCTGATTACCTCTGAGTCGATGCAATCAGCTGGTTTTCTTTAGATAGAAAACTTTTAATCATTCTGACTGGATGATCTGGTTGAATTCTCTCTAAAGTGACCTGAGATGATGTGAATTGGCATATTGAAATGTAAATAAACTAAATTGAATGAATAAGTAAAGAGGAGCTGTACACTGTTAAATCAATGTGAAAACATGCTTACTAGCTTGGCGTTCCATATCCCTTTGCCTTGGTGAATCCTACAGAGATGGCAACGACAAGAGCTGGGAGACCTGGCAGGAAAGAGCAACAGCAATAAGGATGTTAACTTTCAGGGAGGAAGAGCAGAGCAGGAAGTAGACAGAGGTCGGAAATCCCACCCCAGCCGAGACACAGAAAACGCTTCCGTATGATCCGATTCCTGAGGCGGCCCGTCACCGCCATGTATGACTGCCAGGCCTCCGTCAGAACCCAGCAGAACGAGGACAGGAAGAAGAAATGGAGAAACGCTGCGATCAGGGTGCATAAGATCTGAAACCACAGAGAGAGAGAGAGATTGCAGTTAACGTCTGTCCGCTTGTTTACTGGGTCAGGAAACATGGCCTCCCATCAGGTCCAACCTTGTTCCTGGTTTGGGTCTGTCCAATTAGAATGAGGGCGTTGGAGGAGATGATGGAGAGGCAGAAGTTGATGAGGATGACGGAGCGCTCAGATCTGATGTACCTGCAGAAAGAGAGAGAAGAGAGAACATCTGAAGAGCAAAACTACAGTTAAAAGGTTTGAGACGCCGTCAATGACTGACTCCAGATCCAAGCACCCAGAGCTCCGTTCACCTGGGAAATGGTTCATTATCATCTTATCAGGTGTTTATTTAACCAAAGGAAAGATTCATTGAAATGAAAGGATTTCTTGTGGTTGTTTCTTCAGACAGAGAAGGACTTTCAGACCAGAGCTCATCCTGAGCCAAGGGGGCAGAAACGGCAAAGTTTCTTCCTTTTTTTGAGTAGAAACGCAAGAAGCTAAGATATAAAAAGGGTTTTCTAAAGAAGAGTACCTAGGAATCAGAGCAAATAGAGCCTCGGAAAGCATCCAGTCCTTCTGACTGTGGGATGCAGTTCCCAGTGGAGGGAACCGGTCTAACAGCGATACCGCTAGCGCTGCAACTAAGGATTACTTTGCAATTCGTTCAATCTGTCGATTGTTTATTTGATTGATTGAAGAATAATCAGATAGCCAAAGGTTCCTTAAAGGAAAACTCTGGTCATATTCAGAGTTAAAACGTCTGAAAGTTCTTTAAATCTGAAATTCTTCCATCCTGTTCAATAAATAATCAGTGTTTTTAATTCAGAGTAATTTTCATGTGAATGTGTTTTACTGGAGGCATCCATGTTTGTCAAAGAACACTACTGCCACCTACTGGTTAGTGACGTCACGGTGCGGTATCGGCTGTTGATCAAGTCCCAGTGCTGTATCTGGTGTTTGTCACAACGCGCTATTATCCAAGTCATCTTGAAAACATTCTTCTTCCAAATGTTGGCCACATATTACGGGTTTTTTCTCTGGCCAGAAGTTCGATGGCAAATCCTCCCTCTTCAAGTTGGCGATCCAACGACCAACCCGTCCGTGGAGGATCAGGAATCAGAAAGGTGGAATAATGTATTCCAGCATCCAGCTGCCATGCACGTGGGCATTGTCAGTTTCACTATAGCTCTGGTGAATTTCAATGGTGAAGTCCTCTGGAAATCTTCAATAATTGTTGTTGATTGCAGATGTGTCTAGTAGTTCCCATTGATTTAGCTTGGAAAGCGGGGAGAATGGCGCTAGGCTTACCGCACCGTGACGTCACTGCTGGAAGATGGCAGGAGGGAGGGGCTACTATATTTGGGCAAAAATGGCCGCTCCCAGACTCAGCGATCACAACGAAAATTATTATTTTTCATTAAATTCCTTAAATCACCGCAAACGTATTGGTTTTAGTTATAGATAATGATCTATACCTTATGGATTTTTTATTAAATTAAACCAGGTGAAACTAAAACTTTTCCACCGCAGGTGTTCTGTATAGAGCGGATTGACAGTCGAAAAAAGTTTTAATCTTAAGTGCAAAATACTTATATATTTTCTTTTATAATTTTGGTATAATTCCTGCTCTAAGTGGGTCACTCTGTCAGCTAAAGCAATTTTTTAGAGTCTTTATTCTCCAGTTAATTATTAATCAATAAATTAATAAGTTGACGTTTATTTCAATAATCGATTAATCAAGATTTATCTGATTGTTTCAGACCTAGATACCTCACATCACTTTCACCAAGTAGAGGCAAAAACAGGTCAGTAGAAGCTTCAGAGATGACATCTGCTTTCCCTCCTCTTCTAGCTCAACAGAGAGACACAAGAAACTTCAAACGTGTTTTCAGTTCAAGTTAAAACCCTTCTGTCATTGTTGCCCGAATGACCGTAAATTAGAGCAGAGATCACTTCACACGCTTCAGATGAGCCTGACTTTCTGTAGCGACACAAACTGCCTGCTGCTCTAAAACAGGCAGCTGTTTCTATTTCCTGCTTTAAATGGTAAATTCATGAACTTATATCGCATTTTTTCAAGTCAGGAGACTTTACACTACATTCAGTCCTTCCTGCACTCACTGATGGTGGTGAGCTACGTGGTAGGCACAGCTGCCCTGGGCTCACTGGCAGAAGCCAGGCTGCCGTACAGAACGACATTGAAAGCCCAAGCTGGGGGCTTGAACTGTCAACCCTTCCATTTCAGGGCAAACTCGTATATCCAACGCCACTGTCGCCCCAAATCCATGCCAGTCTGGAGCAGAGTGGATTATTTAGCAGCAGTTAGCGGCTGACAAGCAAAGTGGCTCCAGTCGAGATAAAAAGTAAAAGACTGATGTGCAGACTGCCGAGAGCATTTTGTGGATTTTGATGTACAGTAGAAGCCATACAAAAATGCCCCTTCCAGTCAAACGCCAGCTGAATGGCAGCCCACTTCCCTGCAACTCCAATCAGAATCCCCTCCAGCTTCCAGCCACTGCAGTGACCCCCTCTTGCATATTTTTTTACTCTGACTCCACCCTTTCACTGAATTACAGGGTCTGACCAGGAGATGGCGCTTCTCTTTAGATCCTAATGTCCACAAATCATGACAGAAAAAATATTTTAGATGTTTAAAAAGGAATTGTAGGGGACCAGCCAAGGACCAGCCAAGAACCAGCAAAGGACCAACCAAGAACCAGCCAGGGACCATCCAAGGACCATCCAAGGACCAGCAAAGGACCAGCCAAGAACCAGCAAAGGACCAGCCAAGGACCAGCCAAGAACCAGCAAAGGACCAACCAAGAACCAGCCAGGGACCATCCAAGGACCATCCAAGGACCAGCAAAGGACCAGCCAAGAACCAGCAAAGGACCAGCCAAGGACCAGCCAAGAACCAGCAAAGGACCAACCAAGAACCAGCCAAGGACCAGCCAAGGACCAGCCAAAGACCAGCAAAGGACCATCCAAGGACCATCCAAGGACCAGCAAAGGACCAGCCAAGAACCAGCAAAGGACCAGCCAAGGACCAGCCAAGAACCAGCCAAGAACCAGCAAAGGACCAGCAAAGGACCAGCCAAGATCCAGCCAAGAACCAGCCAAGGACCAACCAAGAACCAGCCAAGGACCAGCCAAGGACCAACCAAGAACCAGCCAAGGACCAGCCAAGGACCAGCCAAGGACCAGCAAAGGACCAGCCAAGATCCAGCCAAGAACCAGCCAAGGACCAACCAAGAACCAGCCAAGGACCAGCCAAGGACCAACCAAGAACCAGCCAAGAACCAGCCAAGGACCAGCCAAGGACCAGCGAAGGACCAGCCAAGAACCAGCCAAGATCCAGCCAAGGACCAACCAAGAACCAGCCAAGGACCAGCCAAGGACCAGCCAAGGACCAACCAAGGACCAGCCAAGATCCAGCCAAGAACCAGCCAAGGACCAACCAAGAACCAGCCAAGAACCAGCCAAGGACCAGCCAAGGACCAGCCAAGGACCAACCAAGAACCAGCCAAGAACCAGCAAAGGACCAACCAAGAACCAGCCAAGGACCAGCCAAGGACCAGTAAAGGACTATCCAAGGACCATCCAAGGACCAGCAAAGGACCAGCCAAGAACCAGCAAAGGACCAGCCAAGGACCAGCCAAGAACCAGTAAAGGACCAACCAAGAACTAGCCAAGGACCAGCCAAGGACCAGCCAAGGACCAGCAAAGGACCATCCAAGAACCAGCAAAGGACCAGCCAAGGACCAGCCAAGGACCAGCCAAGGACCAGCAAAGGACCAGCCAAGGACCAGCCAAGGACCAGCAAAGGACCAGCAAAGGACCAGCCAAGGACCAGAAAATGACCAGCCAATGACCAGCCAAGAACCAGAAAAGGACCAGCCAAGAACCAGAAAAGGACCATCCAAGGACCAGCAAAGGACCATCCAAGGACCAACCAAGAACCAGCCAAGAACCAGCCAAGGACCAGCCAAGGACCAGCAAAAGACCAGCAAAGGACCAGCCAAGTACCAGCAAAGGACAAGCCAAGGACCAACCAAGAACCAGCAAAGGACCAACCAAGAACCAGCAAAGGACCATCCAAGGACCAACCAAGAACCAGCCAAGAACCAGCAAAGGACCAGCCAAGGACCAGCCAAGAACCAGCAAAGGACCAGCAAAGGACCAGCCAAGAACCAGCAAAGGACCAGCCAAGGACCAACCAAGAACCAGCCAAGGACCAGTCAAGGACCAGCCAAGGACCATCCAAGGACCAGCAAAGGACCAGCCAAGAACCAGCCAAGGACCAGCAAAGGACCAGCAAAAGACCAGCAAAGGACCAGCCAAGTACCAGCAAAGGACAAGCCAAGGACCAACCAAGAACCAGCAAAGGACCAACCAAGAACCAGCAAAGGACCATCCAAGGACCAACCAAGAACCAGCCAAGAACCAGCAAAGGACCAGCCAAGGACCAGCCAAGAACCAGAAAAGGACCAGCCAAGAACCAGAAAAGGACCATCCAAGGACCAGCAAAGGACCATCCAAGGACCAACCAAGAACCAGCCAAGAACCAGCCAAGGACCAGCCAAGGACCAGCAAAAGACCAGCAAAGGACCAGCCAAGTACCAGCAAAGGACAAGCCAAGGACCAACCAAGAACCAGCAAAGGACCAACCAAGAACCAGCAAAGGACCATCCAAGGACCAACCAAGAACCAGCCAAGAACCAGCAAAGGACCAGCCAAGGACCAGCCAAGAACCAGCAAAGGACCAGCCAAGGACCAGCCAAGAACCAGCAAAGGACCAGCCAAGGACCAACCAAGAACCAGCCAAGGACCAGTCAAGGACCAGCCAAGGACCATCCAAGGACCAGCCAAGGACCAGCCAAGGACCAGCAAAGGACCAGCCAAGGACCAGCCAAGGACCAGCAAAGGACCAGCAAAGGACCAGCCAAGGACCAGAAAAGGACCAGCCAATGACCAGCCAAGAACCAGAAAAGGACCAGCCAAGAACCAGAAAAGGACCATCCAAGGACCAGCAAAGGACCATCCAAGGACCAACCAAGAACCAGCCAAGAACCAGCCAAGGACCAGCCAAGGACCAGCAAAAGACCAGCAAAGGACCAACCAAGAACCAGCAAAGGACAAGCCAAGGACCAACCAAGAACCAGCAAAGGACCAACCAAGAACCAGCAAAGGACCATCCAAGGACCAACCAAGAACCAGCCAAGAACCAGCAAAGGACCAGCCAAGGACCAGCCAAGAACCAGCAAAGGACCAGCCAAGGACCAGCCAAGAACCAGCAAAGGACCAGCCAAGGACCAACCAAGAACCAGCCAAGGACCAGTCAAGGACCAGCCAAGGACCATCCAAGGACCAGCAAAGGACCAGCCAAGAACCAGCAAAGGACCAGCCAAGGACCAGCCAAGAACCAGCAAAGGACCAGCCAAGGACCAGCCAAGAACCAGCAAAGGACCAGCCAAGGACCAACCAAGAACCAGCCAAGGACCAGTCAAGGACCAGCCAAGGACCATCCAAGGACCAGCAAAGGACCAGCCAAGAACCAGCAAAGGACCAGCCAAGGACCAGCCAAGAACCAGCCAAGAACCAGCAAAGGACCAGCAAAGGACCAGCCAAGAACCAGCCAAGGACCAGCCAAGGACCAGCCAAGGACCAGCCAAGGACCAACCAAGAACCAGCCAAGAACCAGCCAAGGACCAGCCAAGGACCAGCCAAGGACCAGCCAAGGACCAGAAAAGGACCAGAAAAGGACCATCCAATGACCAGCCAAGAACCAGAAAAGGACCATCCAAGGACCAGCAAAGGACCAACCAAGGACCAACCAAGAACCAGCAAAGGACCAGCCAAGGACCAGCCAAGGACCAACCAAGAACCAGCAAAGGACCAGCCAAGGACCAGCCAAGAACCAGCAAAGGACCAACCAAGGACCAACCAAGAACCAGCAAAGGACCAGCCAAGGACCAGCCAAGAACCAGCAAAGGACCAGCCAAGGACCAACCAAGGACCAGCAAAGGACCAGCCAAGGATCATCAAGCAAAGTGGTAAAATTTTGAACGGCTGCTACTGTAGTAAAGAGGATGTTGAGTAGATCTGGTAAATAAAACTTTGCTGGTTCATTGTTCTGTATGCACTGATGCTGCCTGATGCAATGATATGTCTGTGAAAATACGCCAGTGGAACCGACAGGTTCTGACATCCAGCTCTCTATGAAGGCTTTTTGCAGCTCTTGGTGACTTTTTGTGATGGAATTGCTGATTGTCAGATGGGGATGTTGCCTCTGACATCGTTGGAGCGTACAGAGTCTCTCTCCTGTATAAACACCTTCGATCGTTTCTTTTTACACGTCCTGTTTCTTCTGCGATGCTGAGCGTATAAAGCTGACTCAGCTGTACTGGTAGAGATGTTAGTTCAGCTCTTTTAGCTGCCAGACAGTAGAAAATCTGTTGTGTTTAAAATCTCCCAGTAGAAATATAGAAGTAAGCATTTTGCAATTATCAAAAAGAAATACTAAGATGTCTTATTTTGAAAATGAACTTTTGTCAAAGGCAAAGAGGCCTGCAGCTGTAGATTATCTTAGTGATTATTTTAGTCTTTAAACACATTAATAATTCAATTACATAAAGAGTTGTTCATTTAATTCAATCATCAAACAATCCAGACACATTGCAGACCTTCTTGAGATGTTAAACCTTTAACTCTCCAGTTTTCTAAGGCTATGTTCACACAGCAGCCTGATGTGACCAGGATCCATTGTTTTCACGACTGAACAACACAGATCAGATTTTTTCCAATGTGACCCAGGCCACTTGGCTCTGTGGTCCTGAATCTGATGTGAATCTGATCTTTTCAAATGCGACCTGTGTCTGAACGTCATTAATACTCAGCAAAGGTCACTATTCTGCATCTTGCTACGCAGAAGGGGGAAGAAAAACAAAAACCATTGCGGATGCAGAGAGCAGTCTTTTTTTTCAACCATCAGCTGAGGTTGGAAAAGAAATTAAAGATCAGTGGATTCGCTTCAGCACTACCATCCATATTTGCTTCCATAAACACAGAGCTGCTCACTACTGGTGACGTCATCACTCCCTCTACTGTGCATGCAGGGGCACTTAAGTTGTGGGTATGCAGTTCACACAGGAGATCACATGCAAGTCGCATATATTGAAAATGTGAATGACCGTGCAAACCAATCCGATTTGAGCATTTATCTGACTCTTTACAATTGTCTTTTGCATCTCTGCTTCATTTTCTTTCTTTTTTTAATTTTATCTTTATTAATCCTCATGAAAGTATAATTTACAAAAACTTAGTCCACTACATCGCAAGATTAATTCCAACATTTTAAACAAGGTGGAAAAGTAAGCCATTGTATTATATCAGTCTAAATAAAATAACAACCTAACTTCCTGCGAAAGATTATATAGAAAGAGGTAAAGAGTGTGAAAGATGAAACAATGACAAAAAACAAAAAAAACAGTATAAAATAATTATAAAGTATGGCTGTCGTAGGAGAGTGGATTTTACATCGTTTTTTTTTATAAATGTTATACGTTATATCGATCCAGTCGTTTAAAGTTGGTTTGTCATGTTTGTCAATTTCCTGTAATGTTTTTCCTACATGCTGTCAATATTATCAAATATTCATGCCTTTTTTAAGCTCCTTGAGGAATTATATCAAAATACATAAGCTTAATCTCCAGGAAGAGAAATGTTCTGTTTAAAAATATCTTGTAAGGCATTATTTATTTTTTTCCACTAGTCTTTTATAATTGGGCAGTCCCAGATATGATAAAGTTTTGCATTTTGATTTCTGCATTTTCTCTTCTCGTAGTGGTATTTCTGAGCAGGTGTCATAAGGAATCTTGGCAGATTTTTCCATCCAAATTCTTGAATATCTATGCTTCTTTTTCTATGTCTGCTTCTGTCTCCTTGAACCCCAGTGGGCCTCAGCAGATGGCCGCTCACACTGAGCCTGGTTCTGCTGGAGGTTTCTTCCTGTTCAAAGGGAGTTTTTCCTCGCCACTGTCGCTACAAGCATGCTTAGTGTGAGGGATTGCTGAAGAGTCAATGAGTCGATGCAATCAGCTGGTTTTCCTTATATTTTGAATAAATCTGACTGGATGATCTTGGTGAACTGGAAAGTGACCTGATATGACATGATGTGAATTGGAGCTATAGAAATAAACTGAATAGAATTTAAATTAAACCTGCAGTTGTAACAAAGCCTTGAAGAAGCTGATTCAGCAGACTGCCAAACATGTTCAGGGAGGATTCAAAAGTTGAAATCAAACTAAAGAGGAGCAGAAATATCTGATGAATCTTTGATAAGCAGCTGAACAGAGTTCAGACTTTGTGTTTTAACTTTCCTTCATGAGATTAAACCAAATGTTTCCTAATAATCAGAATAGTGAGAAAAAAGGTTGGGGGAATTTTCTATCACCTCAGTTGCACTTGAACAACTTTAGACAGGTTATGATGTCCTATGTTTTAAATGGTAATTTTAATGTGTTACATAGAGGTAAAGCCCCTGTAATGCTCATCTTTTTTTTTATAACATCACAGAAAGACCTAAAAGTCAGAAAATAACCCCATGTTTAAAGGCTTTCTGTAGGAGGGACTGGCGCTCTTCACCAAACCTGTGATCCTGTCCATGTCAAGACCAAGCTGCTCCACTCCTCCCAGGACTGAGCCAAAACGTTTAAGCCAAACTCAAACGGCTTAAAGGTTATTCTACTAAATAAACACAGTTCTGAGTTTGAAGAATGTAAGAAGAAAACAGTTTTTGTTATTTGGACATTCCTGCACCCTGGATGGTGTTTATTAGAGCAGACGAAGCTCTCTGGGATTTATTGTCTATCTCGCTGAATAAAAAAAAAAAAAAAACTCCTTTAAACATCTTTAGGTTGGAAAAAAGTCCCAAATTAATCACAAAACATGAATGTAAAAGCACAGATAAATCGCAAGAGTTGGACTTTACTTTGAAATATATTTTTACTTAATTAATTTGAAGCAAATCTCTTATTTTGATAGTTTTCTTTTATCTTATGTCAGATCAGTTTTTATACCCAGAGTCACTCGTTTATTTCCGTATTCATTCTTCAATAGGAAGGAGCTGATCGGTTCAGACCCAGATCTGATTGGAAAACAGCGGCATTAAGGACAAACATGAGCTTACTTCCACACAGAGACGTAGATGATGATGAGCAGCAGCAGCGTGAGCGAAGACACACCGCAGCCCACGATCAGGGTCACGGACGGCAGCTGCAGCTTGTCCATGTTCTGAAAGCAAGAGGAGAAATCAGTGTTTAAGAACCTGGATTACAGCATCATCATCATCATACATTCACCCATCATCATCATCATCATCCATCCATCATCATCATCATCCATCCATCATAATCCATCCATCCATCATCATCATCCATTCACCCATCATCATCATCATTATCAATCCATCAGCATGATCCATCCATCATCATCATCATCATCATCCATCCATCATAATCCATCCATCCATCATCATCATCCATTCACCCATCATCATCATCATTATCAATCCATCAGCATGATCCATCCATCATCATCATCATCATCATCCATCCATCATCATCATCATCCATCCATCATTATCCATCTATCCATCATCATCATCATCATCCTCATCATCATCATCATCCATCCATCAATCATCATCAATCATCATCATTATCATCATCATGATCCATCCATCATCATCATCATCCTCATCATCATCATCATCATCCATCATCATGATCCATCATCCATCCTCATCATCATCATCATCATCATCCATCATCATTATCCATCATCCATCCTCATAATCATCATCATCATCCATCATCATTATCCATCCATCCATCAATCATCATCATCATCATTATCATCATCATGATCCATGATGGCTGTGACGTCATCCTGGAAAGAAACATCAGCTGTGCTGCTTCTATCGACACCCTTGTTTATAGATGTTGGAGATCGGCCTGTTTTCCAGTGTGGTCCTGTTTCTCTGACCGTGACTGAGTGGATGTGCTCTCTTCGTCCTCTGGCATGGGAGCTGCCTTGGAGCTCGTCTGCCTGGCTGTGTGTTTCCTGGACGGGGCCGCCTTTTACAGCTGCTTTTTGTATCTCTGCTTCTGTCTCCTTGAACCCCAGTGGGCCTCAGCAGATGGCCGCTCACACTGAGCCTGGTTCTGCTGGAGGTTTCTTCCTGTTAAAAGGGAGTTTTTCCTCTCCACTGTCGCTACAAGCATGCTTAGTGTGGGGGATTGTATTTGAGTCAATGAGTCAATGCAATCAACTGGTTTTCCTTAGATAGAAAACTTTGTATCAATTTGACTGTATGATCTGGTTGAACTGTAAAGTGCCTTGAGATGACATGTGTTGTGAATTTGGCGCTATATAAATAAACTGAATTGAATTGAATCATCATCATCACCATCCATCCATCATCATGATCCATCCATCCATCCATCATCATCATCATCATCATTATCATCATCCAACCATCATCATCATCATCATCATCCATCCATCATTATCATCATCATCATCCATCCATTCATCATCCATCTATCATCATCATCATCATCATCTATCCATCATCATCATCATGATCCATCCATTCATCATCCATCCATCATCATCAACCATCCATCCATTCATCATCCATCTATCATCATCAACCATCCATCATCATCCATCCATCATCATCAACCATCCATCCATTCATCATCCATCTATCATCATCGTCATCATCATCATCATCCATCTATCATCATCATCATCATCCATCATCATCATCCATCAATCATCATCATCATCATCATCATTATCATCATCCATCCATCATCATTATCATCATGATCCATCCATCATCATCATCATCCTCATCATCATCCATCCATCATCCATCCATCATCATGATCCATCATCCATCCATCCATCATCCATCATCATCATCATCATCATCATCATCATCATCATCATCCATCCTTCGATCCATCATCATCATCATCATCCATCCATCATCATGATCCATCCATCCATCATCATCATCATGATGATCCATCCATCCATCATCATCCATCCATCATCATGATCCATCCATCCATCATCATCCATCCATCATCATGATCCATCCATCCATCCATCTATCATCATCATCATCATCCATCCATCGATCCATCATCATCATCACCATCCATCCATCATCATGATCCATCCATCCATCCATCATCATCCATCCATCACCATCATCATCATCATCATCATTATCATCATCCAACCATCATCATCATCATCCATCCATCATCATCATCATCCATCCATTCATCATTCATCTATCATCATCATCATCATCATCATCATCCATCCATCATCATCATCATCCATCCATCATCATCATCATACATCCATCATCATCATCATCCATCCATCCATCCATCCTCATCATCATCATCATCCATCCATCCATCCATCCATCCTCATCATCATCATCATCATCATCATCATCATCCATCTATCATCATCATCCATCATCATCATCATCATCCATCCATCCATCCATCATCATCATCATCATCATCATCCATCTCCAGCATTCTATAGGTCAGGGTCGGGGTCACCCTGAAAAGGTCACCAGTTTGTCGCAGCAAAGCTCTTCCTGTTCTGTTACATTAGTATTTTGTTTCATCTTAACTTCTCCTGACTGTATTTCACCTGAATGTGATATGTTGACATTAAAATGAAGAGCCTGTTTATAATGAACATATAATAACTCAACCAGCCTGATGTAATAAAACCGCTGCTTCAGTCATCATCATCTATCCAGCATGAGGTTTATTTCCAGCTTATGTTATTATGAACATATGACCTGTTCCTAGGGAGTCAGGTTAATTATATTTTAAAAGCCTCCATCGAGGTCGACTTCATTAGCACATGAATATTTAAACTAATTGATTTTTTTTCTGCATGTATTGGAGTTTTGAATGGGAGAGCAGGCCCAGAGGTGTGGATCCGTAGGTTAGCTTTAAAAGCAAGAAGATAAGATCAGTGAGCTGATTTTAATGGAAAGAAAATATTTTCATGGCATCACAAAAACACATACCTGTTGGTTTTCTATGATAATAAGAGGAATATTTTGATTGGTACGACTGTTTTCTGGAGAAAGGCAAAAGATATAAACGATGTCCATGAAGCTGGTTGTGACAGACCATGATCAGACTGGGAGACGAGGGGTTAAAGGCATATAGTGTCCAACCAGGAGGTCCGTTCTGATGAATGCACACTATGTTTGAACATAACACTGGGAAGCATTTCACTCTAAGCAACCTTTAAATAAACAGAGGAGGACTGCAGCAGGAAGCAGGATGAAGTTCATTCCTCCTGTAATCAAACAAACCAGCCAGTCGCCGCCGCGCCGCATCCCGCTGAGTAAAGTCAGGGTGAGGACAGGGGCAGCTGTGGCAATAAGATCTGCTGTTGTTCACAGGTAGATGGTTGGTGGAGGGGTGGAGACGAGTCCCCCCCCCGGTCTAGCAGGAGATAATTGGCTGAGTTTATAGCCTGTCTTGTATCTCAGTTTGATGTGTGCGGTGGCCAAGTTAATTAAATCCGTCTGATTAATCTACACTGGAGCGAGTTCCTCCTCTCAAAGCAAATGGGTGGAGGAAAGATAAGGATGCAATGGCAAGACATCTGCTGCGGCAGACACGCTCTTCATCCCACTGCTCACCATGGCCAGAGTAAAATACTCTATAAATTACCAAAGATTTAAAAGAACTGGTGAGACCAACGATGCTGCAGGTCTAGAAACAGCAGACATGTTCCTGTTAACCGATTTTAGGCCCATTCTTAAAGGAAAAGTCGCTCATATTCAGAGTTCAAACTTCTGAAAGTTCTTTAAATCTGAAATGATTCCATCCTGTTCAATAAATGATCAGTGTTTTTAATTCAGAGTAATTTTCATGTGAATGTGCTTTACTGGAGACATCCATGTTTGTCAAAGAACACTACTGCCACCTACTGGTTAGTGACGTCACGGTGCGGTATCGGCTGTTGATCAAGTCCCAGTGCTGTATCTGGTGTTTGTCACAACTAGTGTTGCACCGATACCAGTATCGGACGGGGCCCCGATACTGCCCTAAAGTGGCGGTATCGGTATCGGCGAGTACCAACCAATAGGGCACCGATACCATTTTGAGAGCCAAAAGTTTCTTCAACTATTGTCACTCATTCCAGGTAGGAAATAAAAAGTTCTACTGGATTCACTTTGTATTAGATTTTTCCCTGCTTCCCATAGGTAGGCAGCAGCTCGACAAAGCCATGATGGCAATTATTTTACATTGTTATGGTATCGGTCGATACTGCACAGCCAGGTATCGGGTATCAGTATCGGGGCCAAAAAATGGCATCGGCGCAACACTAGTCACAACGCGCTATTATCCAAGTCATCTACAAAACATTCTTCTTCCAAATGTTGGCTACATATTACGGGTTTTTTCTCTGGCCAGAAGTTCGATGGCAAATCCTCCCTCTTCAAGTTGGCGATCCAACGACCAACCCGTCTGTGGAGGATCAGGAATCAGAAAGGTGGAATAACTCTTTTTTTCACTTTTACCCGATGTATTCCAGCATCCAGCTGCCATGCACGTGGGCATTGTCAGTTTCACTATAGCTCTGGTGAATTTCAATGGTGAAGTCCTCTGGAAATCTTCAATAATTGTTGTTGATTGCAGATGTGTCTAGTAGTTCCCATTGATTTAGCTTGGAAAGCGGGGAGAATGGCTTTCCGCACCGTGACGTCACTGCTGGAAGATGGCAGGAGGGAGGGGCTACTATATTTGGGCAAAAACGTTAGTATGGAATCAAGATAAATACAACAAAAAAAATCATATTATACATCTGTATTTATAAAACTGGAGCTCCTCTGAGTAACTCCCCTATAATCACATTTAAACTTGATGAGTTGGGAACAAAATGCAGATAAATAATTATAGTTAGGCTGACTTAATTAGTTTTACTTTGTTCCCATCCAGAAACGTGAGCTGCTTTTGATGAGCTCTGATAACTCAGAAACCAGCTGATCCCAGGCTGTTTTCTGTCTGTTCCTCTGCTGGGTTTGGATGTCGGTCACAGCTGAAGGTGAACTGAAAAAAAAAAACTAAGGGATTTAATTGTTCAATTGAGTCAAAAAAGATCCCAGCCCTATTTTATTTTATTACCTAAAAAATAAAATATTTTCATGTACCACTTGTAAT